TAATTTTTTTGCCATTCTTCTCTTCTCACTCATCAAATTTGTTAGTCAGCATATGATATGATGGTTTGATGGTAATTTAAACTCGCAATCATAACTACCAAGAATTAATTCATTTTATCTTATCAACTTAATTCTTAAAAATTCAACTCGGTATAACAAGAGGCTGTCAACCTTTACACCATAAAGAGAGAGATGCATCAATATGTTTCTGTGTACCCTATTATCTAAAATTATTTCTGCTGCAAAACCAATATATTCAAAAAGTGTAAAAATAAGATAATTATCTTCAGACCATCTTTAACTATCTCTAATAAAAAAACACACAACCAAAAATGATTTGCAACTTTTTAAAACAGCGTTTTAAAAAAAAAACTGTAAAATCCATATATTTTTTCAATTTTTAAGAGTTCTGCGAAGAATGGAATGCAATTGCAATTATGATTTCTCAAACTTCATCTTGACTTTATCGCGCCCCGTGTTTCAATCATAATCATAGGGATTAAACATTTATAATGGAAAATTGAGCGTACGTCGTATGTGACGAGACTTTCAATTATGACTAACGAGAACAAATCGGTCATCGGATGATATCATTTATTATATTGCATAAATTTTTTTCATTCCAAGTTTGACTAATTGTCAAGTAGTATGTTTTTAGCAAAGAAGTGGCCAATCATTATCTAATCAAGCTGGGCTCTCCATCAACATCCCATCAGCGGCAATTATGAGCACTCTCCAGCCTTTGTAGTCTGCACATTTATGTATTGACAGAGAGAGAGAGACTTTATCTTTTTTCCCTTGAAAGCTCTGTTTGCCTATTCCGGGGAGAGTTAATCGTTAATCATGCGAGACAAAAAGCGTCCGCTTGGGGTTTCAGCCCAAGTCGTCGCTCAAACAAAGCACACTCTCGCGAAAACGCATGGGCCGGTGTGTTTGCGAAAACAGAGGCGCGGAGAGAGACAGGGAGACCCGAAATAGACTTCTTTGTTTTGCACATGTGCCCGCTTGAGGCATTGTCGTCAAAATAAAGCCTTCTGGATACAGTTTTCATTATACGCCATTTGTTTTGCAGTCTAATGCCTTTGTTTGCTCGCGGCTCGGATTTGCCCATTAAAACGCGAGCCTTCTCTGCGCGCAAAGCCACTCTAAAAATAATGCAAATCATGTGTGTGCGTGTGAGTAGTGCATAGCAGCGTTGGGCTTATGAATAGCTAGAGAGAGAGAGGAAACTATGCCACTTGCAAATTAATTTGAGAATAATAAGAACGGCACGTGTGATAAAATTCTATTCTGGGAAATGTATTTCAGTACAATGACGCAGCTACGGCTGATAAATTGATGATTATCCAGCAACACATTTTCATAAACGAGAATACTTGTTTGATAATAGATTTATTAATTCTTTAAATGGGCAAGACCTTATAAATTAGTAAATAAGTAAGTTTTTAATATTAAATATTATATATAATAAAATACGAATATAGCAGATATCAATAAAAAAATAATATTTCAGGGTGTATAAATATGTGTATAATTGCTCTATTTTATTTTTTGTGTGAAGAATATTTCGGTAAAATTACGTTCTCAAATATTGGAATGAAATTGGCTCACTTAAAGCAGTGCAAAATAATAAATAATACACAGCCATATCCTAAGCAGTTCTCAGCCAGATGTGTCTGATTAAATAAAAATTATACACGTTTTTATTCATTTTTTGGAGGGGCCAAAAGAGAAGGTGACACTGAATGACTCCCTGTCAAAAGAATTTTAAAGGCAGAAGGCGGCGCGTTTGCCTCTGTTTAAGGTTACACAATTAGCGGCCGTGTGCAAATTACTTGGCTAACAGCAGGAGGTATATCTCTCGCTCTGGCAGTCAGGTCACGTGGCTAATTTTAAATGATTGGCCCCGAGCAGAGTGACATTTGCGCCCAGTCAGAGTCATTGTGTGTCAGGCAGCTCCTTCAGCTCCACCCGAGTGAAAACGCGGCTCTGCGAGTTTCGAGTTCATTTGCATCTGAAAAATATTTAATTCACGTACACGCGTGCGACTTCGGCCCGACAGATATCGCTCGAGGGTGTGGTCGCACCCTGAAATTGCCTCACGCACACTACAAGCACCACACCCTGCACGTCAAACTTGGGTGCCCGCCACAAATAATTTGCAATAATTCGATAATGTGCCATGTGTCTGTATAGTTTTTTATTTTAAAAATCAATTAATTAAAAACATTTATTTATGAAAGAAATGGAATTTATATCTCTCAACCTGATGATTCGGAGATGTAGAGTGCAAAATAATTAACATTATTACATAAAAAGTTCATTTTATTGCGGCCTGCTTTTTTTAAGCAACATACGGAATTTAACAAATTTAATCTATGCTCTGCCATTTTTTTTACTACCTTTTGCTACTCAATATTATTATTTTATTTATTTAATCAAAATATACATGTCTATTTATTTTTGTTGTTTATTTCATCAAAAATATACTTACAAAACACTGAAAATACATTACAAAAATAGCAATGTTGCTCACATTTTTCAAATTTTATTCTTCATATTCTTCTAAGAAGAGGAACATTAATTATAAAATTTATTAGATTGTAAATTTCATCAGGTATTTATTTTCATTCTCATTATGTCATGGTCAGTCACTTCAGAAACCCATCGTGCCGTGCACCTTTCTCTGTACAAGATATAGATCATAAAGATTAGGCAGCACATTGACTTCGCGGGTTTTTTCTTTAAATTTACGACAAGAAACCTTACAAGTGGCATCCTAAGTGAAAATTAATGTATTTTTATTTGAATGTAATATTTTTTAATTCTTGGATGCATATGAATAAAATAAAATTACAATTTCTTTACATCAACTGATAGAGTCTTCCCATGGTTTTTGCAAAATAAATAGCTACTTAATTTCTTTATGCTGGCAGCATTGGTCAAAACAATAACAATGATAGAAGAAGAAAATTTACGTGCTGCTGGGTTAGATTCTACATACTCTGCATTGATAATTGCGATAAAACAACAAAAAACCATTTAAATTTTTGTATATTTCATTTAATCTTCTATCCTGAATTTGTAAGTAATACTTTTACTATATTTTTATGTATGTACGTTTTATTTGTAAAAATCGTAAAAATTATTATGAAGCGAAATAAAAACAGCACACACGCTTTTGCGTTTAAGATCTTATAAATAATTTTGTTTTTCATATCGATTGGAATTATGCATTATAACGGTGTTTATTGTTTCAGAAAGGAAAATGGGCAAAATCACCAGAGGTAGGACAAAGTACCACACAGCTGCGGAGCAAAAACAGTCCATCGCCGACGCTCCTTCAGAAACCCAGAATGTATCCAGAAGCCTTCAAACTCTTTCTGTGCCCGACGACCTCTTTGCGGGCCTGGACATTCCTCAGGCTTACTTGGAACCTAACAAAACGCTGCAGGATAATTTAAGAAGGGAAAACGAGGATGCTCGAAGCACTCTTTCGAAGAAGAGCTTCAAGATCGACAACCCTTACAATAAAAAGGAAAAGAGGCTTCTTAGACGCGAGGCGTTTTTAATGAGTAATTTAAGCCTTAATTATATAAAATTTGTGTCTTGATTAACATAATTTCTGTGTGTCAGAGTTGAACGCTGTCAGAGCCGGTGAGATCGAGGAGAAAAAACGCAAGAAGAGGCAAAAGACTGTGATCACAGGAGACATGCAAGACTTGTTCGACTCTTTGCCTTCTGTCGAATCCCAGTTTTCAAAATCTGCAAAAAAGCCTCCAGCCAAAGAGCGCAGCATTCCCAAATTCAACGCTCGCTCTCATATTCAGTAAGTAGTAGTAGTGCTACTATCATATTGCTTGTAATTATAAAAAAAATCTTATACATAATTTATTTTTGCAGCAACGAGAGAGTGGCAAAGTACAAGGACGCCTTCCTTGATTTTTGTACCACATCAAAATAAATACCACCCAAATTTTTTAACCCAATACCAGAAGATAAATCTTAATATTGAATTTATGGATGATATTTTGGCATTATTCCTAGCATAAAAAAGATTGTGTGTTAAACGCTGTTAAAATGCATTCAAATGCATCTACACGCCACCAATATGGGGATTTGAATTTAAAGTCGGCTTTTCCTCTATGGGTTTTGTGAGTTGTTTATAGTTTAAGAAAAAACAAGAGCAGGATTAATATTGGTTTTCCTAAACAATAAACAACTCACAAAACCAAGAAAAATGTGACTTTAAAACTTAAATCACCATGAATCAACCCTCAATTGTGAGAAGTTCTACCACATACATATTCCAAGGCAAGAAATGTGATGTGATGGGAGACGCCTGACGCACTGACGCCTATTTGGGATTTTGAAATTTTCACAATTAATTTTTAGAAAAAAATCAATACTATTTGCAACAGAAAAATACGATATTTTAATTAAGCAACTCGAATATACTCTGGGAATGCATGAATGCAATCGCACATAAGGGAAATGCCGATCCACATCCGTGGGTCACCAACCCATCTCGAAGGGATGACAAACATATTTTGAGGGACCCACATGAAAATAGGAAATCAAAACTAGCAAAAATATTAAATATATAATTATTTATCGATGTCCACTGATTGTGAGAAGTAAAAAATGAAAAAAAATTGGCTTTCTTAAGATTTCCCTGTCCTCATTGTCAGAGTTTAACCAGTTTCAATTAAGTTTTTTTTTCATGCTATATTTGTATAAATATTGATGCTATACTTTTCTATTGAAAAGGTTTTCCAAAAATTTCAAGCCGAGATATGGAAATAATAATGTTCAAATCGTTCAAATTTTCTTAAAGAAATACAATTTAAATTAAATCTAGAAAAATTACGAATTAAATTAATTTTAATGAAATAAGCAATAACTAAATCAAGAGCACTAAGTTCGCGCCTTTCCCTTTCAGCCGCATTATTCAATGTGCAGGGTGTGCACATTGCGTGCCATCTCTGAAGTGTTTTGCAAAGTAACATTCTAAAAGAGGCCATGTTGGATTAGGTTACTTTCTGTTATCTGTATTGGGAGCTGCTAGAATTATATTTTGAAAGCTGCCGTTTTCCTCGATAGTGCGGCAGAAGTGATTGTTGCGTGGCTGGGTCATTGTTGGACTTCTGTAGAGGAAGCGGCGAACTTTCGAGAAAAATCGTCAGATCTCAGACCATACGCTTGGTGAGACTTCGTGTATAAAATTCTCTTCAAACCCAAAACGCAATTCCATCTCGTTCGCCCACCTCCTCTTTTTGCTCTTGCACAGAAGTTGCGTTAATTTCACTTTTCCCACTTCTGCAGGCGCCGATGACGCAGCCCCCGATGTCCAGGTCGGCCGGAATTATCTGAGATTTCGCCTTTCATTGTAGAACAAATTGAAATCCAACAGCAGGTGACGAATCAAAAATTATACTTCAAAGCATTTTGGTGTTAGCACTTTCCAGAAATTCTAAGGTTCCGCTGTGGCTTTAGTGTTATATCCCTTGTTTCTTTCTGATTTAAGAAATGGCCTCATTACTCGATATTACTGTGAAGACTTTGGACTCTCAAAATCACAAGTTTAACCTTGCTGAGGATGTAAGTGAAAATGTTCTCATTGAGGCCACAGTTGCTTGTCAGCCTTAGGAACGAGCATATCATGCAATAAGATTTTTCAACCTCTTCCTAATTCTTCGACTTTCAGAAAACGGTCAAAGATTTCAAAGATGAGATCGAGAAGGTTGTCAACATTCCGGCCAACAGCCAAAGGCTCATTTACTGTGGTCGAGTTTTGCAGGATGAAAAGCAACTCAAGGAATACAGTAATTTTTAATAAACTTTGAAAATGAGCAAGGAAATCTTATTAAAATTTTGCAGATCTCGACAAAAAGGTGGTTCACCTTGTCCAGAGAGTGCCTCCAACACAGAGGCCGCACACAGCAGGGGCGAGCACCTCCACAAGGTCTTCGGCCACCAACAGCCCTCGTCGCATCAACATCAGCACTGCTCGAGGATTTGATTCAAGTACGATAGAGTTTTTGAAAATTGCAGTATTTTTCAGAAAAGATTTTTAAAAATAACCAACCAATTAACCATTAAAGCTTATATAAGATAATTTTCTCTCTTGTTATTGCTGTAAATGATATTTTTCCATATCTATAGATAAATGCTATAGATAAATGCCTACAAATAGTTTTTGCATAATTTTTAGATACCTTGGACATGATCCATTTAGCAGCTCACAACCGAATTAGTCTTGTGAATCACATGCTGTCTCGAGCTGAGAACTGTGTTGCTCGTCTTGAGGACCCAACTGTAGCTCCATATCCGCCAGCAGACCACATAAATATGAGTGCCCTGACTGCTGAAGGAGCAGATGCATTTGTGTAAGAAACACAAATTCCAATTAATTGATGGAAACCTTTTATTCTGACTTATAAATTTCCCTTTATCCTCTTAATATTGAAATAAAATAAATGTTTTTAGGGGTCCTGAACTGGCTGGGACTTTGACAACATCGATTTCTGTGTCCGATTCTCCAGAAGGCAATAACCCCACAACTCTTGGTGGCGCCGTTTCAGCTGCTGTGGCCGGTGCGCTCTCGGCCATTGTCTCTGCTGTAAACACTTCAATGGGTGGCAACACCAACATCACTGTTGGGGCACCAAACATTACCGTCACCTCCATGTCCTCTGATGTGCCCATGGACTCGCCGCCTCATCCAACGTCAAGCGAAGAAGCACCAGGTACTGTTTCTCTCTTCACTGATAAAATTTATAAAGACGTCTAACTTTTGTGAAATAATTTTTTTCAGTGCCACCTCCAGCAAGTGCCAGTAGCGAAAATGCACCTGCTTCTGCTGGGGCCACTGCTGGTCAAGAGCAGCCTTCCAGTTCATCATCAACTTCAACAAGCTCTCCCAGCGCTCAGCAACGCCCAAGGTACTAAAACTTCACAAAGATTAAAAATTTCCTCTTACTTTTGTAAAATTTTAGAAGAGGGTCACCAATCAGTGCAATGGCTGATTCCATTGATCACATGAACAGAATCCAGGATCGGCTCCGTCCATTCTCAGATGAAATGAACAGAATCATGCGAGAAGATCCAGCAGTTGCTTCTTTTGAGGGACAGGTAATTTTTTTCCCTCAAAATACAGTGTTTCCTAAAAGAAAAGAAGAAAATATAAACCTGAAAACAAAAATATATTTTCTGTACTGAAATTTAAAATTCGCTTAATTTAATTTTTAGAACAACACTCTTGAAGATGTGCAGCGTCGATTCTCATTAGTGTCGGAGACAATGCACTTCATCAGCCATGCATACCACCACTTGTCGGACCTGAGTCTGGGCCTCACTCGCCCTCCGCCCCGCACTTTGGGCGTCCGCTCTCTTGTCCTGCAGCCAGCCTTTGTTCAGGGTGTTGGCATTCCTGTGCAGGCGCAGATCAACGTCGTCTCCGGCCACATCAGCCCCCAGCAGGCGTCCCCATCTCACGGAAGCACTTCGCCTCCCACAGCCAACCCTGCCTCCACTCCAGCTGCCACCGCCGAGCAACCTCCGCAAGCTGATCAACCTGGACGTCCACAGATGGTCCCTGAATTCATGGTGGGGCCAACATTTGAGGCCCGTCGCAGTTCGTTCACTCTGCCCTCAGGAGGCAATGTAGAGGTCGTGATGGAAATGACCCCTGGCAGTCTGACCTACGTGCCAGGCCAATCTGGGGGAGGTGGCGGTGGCCAGCACAACCACTTCCATCATGTGCACGAAGCCTCGCCTGACCTGATGAGGGCCATCATTATGCACGCCATGTCCCACCAGATGGGTGGTGGCCAGGGAGGTCAAAGCGGTCAGCCCGCAAGCGCCCCCACTTCAAACAGCTCTGCGTCTCCTTCGGCCGCAGCTGCTGCGGGGGCCGGCGCTGCCCCTTCCTCTGGAGGCGCCACTGGCCAGAACAGCCAAGCCAGAGGCACTACCACCACCAACCCTACCACATCTACACAGACAAGGTCCACACCAAGGCCCCATGTGCACTTGGCCCCAGTGAACGTTCCAGGTAGGTTTCATTTTTATATTCTATTAATCAAACTCAAATTTGTTATTTCTATCCATGAAATAATTAAAAATAAAGTGAACTTTTACAAGTTTTATTATAACAATACCAATGGAAATTCAATACTAATTTCTTATTTTGAAATCGCACAAATTCTGCAAGATTTTCATTTGAAATATATTTTTAAAGTGAGCATGAGCAACATGTTCGACCCGTACTTGATGTGCAGCTCACACCACATTCACGCCAGACGCCGACAAACAGAGCCGACGCAGGTGAGCAAAGATCTGCTTTAAATTCATCTCTTGGTGCGATCTTTTGACTCTCTCCCACAAAGGCCCCATCGTTCAATTATGTGGAGTCAATGAATGTGTTTCTATTTAGGGAGCAGGTCAAAAGGTTGAGTGTTGGAAGAAAAAATGTGTTCATATCCTATTCATGTGAAGCACCATCTAATAGGATTTTTTTAAATTATAATATGTGTATGTTTTACTAATTATTTCTAAATTTTATTTCAGACAACCACTACTGCAAGCGCAGCCGCACAGAGCGCGCCTTCGACTCCAACAAGACAACCTACTGCTCCTCAACAGCCCCCGTCTCAGCCTAGTAAGATAACTTGAATAACATATCACTTTTTATCTTATAAGTCTTATTCACAAATCTTTTAATTCAATAGTTATATAATTTTCATTCTCTGCTTTATTAATAATTTATGTCATTTATGAAATTTATTTCCAATCAGGGCCTCCACCTCCACCAGGGGCTATCAATGTTGATGACATTTTACGCCGAAGCTTGTTGGACATAATTCCTGTAAGAAAGTTCTTTTTTTTAGTTTTAAATGTGCTAACAATAATTTTCACGCAGCATGATAGTTTTGCTAACTGGAGAATGCCTACAATAAACTGGCCGACAGCCCCTGACCATGAAGCGTCCGTCTTCTCCTCGATCATAAACACAGTTGTAAGAGCTTTACCGAAATATCATACGAAAGAAAAAATTAACTTTTTTGTCCCATTTCTAGACCCAAAACCTCACGCTAGAAGACATACTGCAGCTGAGCTTTCAGCAGGGAACTCCGCTGAGTCGCATTCGAACCCCGCTCAGAGAGATAGTGAACCAACAGCTTATGAGAGGCGAACCTGTCACCCCTGAAAACACTAACCAGGCTGTGGAAAGAATTATGCATGAGATTCCTATAGTCAATATGCTACAAGTGAGTAGTTTTCGAATCTAATAAAATGTGTTTACGACTTTTTTTGTCGCAGACCTGGAATCAGCTTCGTCCAGGATTGAATGTGGCCGAGTCATTCAGACGATTCTACAGAGACCAGCTTACATCATTTTTGGAACTGATCAACAACGATAGTAATTTACTTTGTGTAGATTATTGAATGCAAAAAAAACTTTGTCAATTGTGTTTTACTAGGCATCACACCAAACCAGTTTGGGCCCCGTCTTTTGGGATTCAGTGGTCAATTTCTGCGCTATCTCACTTCGCTGACAATGCTTTTCTGCCGAGACGGTCGCAGGGGCCTGGAGGAATTCATCGGATCGACTGTGGTTAGTGTACTCTCTTTTGCTCATCAAAATTTAAAAACTATAATTTATGGATTTTCCTTTAATGTTGATATGCTTATTTGATTTTCAGAATCGTCTGATTCCAAGCCCAAGCACCCCGACGCCAATGGCTGTTCTGCACGGCCGCAACTCTATGTCTGCTTACTTCCTCTCCATGCAGATTGACACTCCAGCCGTCGAGAGATTCGTTCAGCGCGTGTCTGCAACTCCAGACCTGACTGCTACCACTCCTGCCGAAAGCCAGACTGCCACTCCTCGCACTGCAGCTGCCGTTGAGGCTATGGAGTGTGACGAGGAATTCGTCTTGGCCGCCGAAGAACTACCCACTCAGCAAGTGCTGCCTCCTCCCGAGGAAGTTGAGGAAGGTGCCATTGTGCTGCCTCCCATGGGCACAGATTCAAGTGCCGCCTGCGACGTTGTTGTCGGGGCTGAGGAGTGGCACACAGGACTTGACCCTGTAAGTTGTGAATGAAATTTTATATTATCAAAATAGTTGAGAGTGAGGATTTTTTTTATAAATCAAAGGAAATACATTTTCAAAATGAAAGAATTTTGACTAATTGTTTCAGGACTGGGTGCCTGTGATCAGCCGAGACATTCAGCGGCAGCGTAGGCAGCCGGACCAGGCGCCGTTTAGTGACTCTTACTTGTCTGGCATGTCGAGCAAGCGGCGCAAACTGGTCAGCGGCAGCAAACCGCAGGGCAGCGTCGACCAGGTCATTGCCAAGTCCGTGGCAACGGCGGCAACTGCCGCCGGCGTTTCGAATGCTGAACAGCTGGCCAAGGCTGCTTCCTCGGACACAACGTTGCAGGCCGCCTACAAGGAGGAGGTGAAGAAATCTGTGCAGCAGCAGCTGTCGCTGAACCCAGACTTCTCAGCCGAGCGTCATCCAAATGCTAACAAGTATTTCAAGCCGACGAAGCAGTAGAATTGATCAAGGGAAGGAAGAAAATTTTCATTTCCAATTCTTTTCTCACCACCAACTTCACTGCTGTCCAGTCAGTTAATTTTATACACTTCTTCATACTGTTGCGTACTACACAATTAACCTAAGTAAGCGAGCCTAAGTTAAGCTGGATTAATGCACATGGAAGAAAAATGCGCATCTTCTTTCGGGAAAACTTCATAGTTGTGGTTTTTTTCATTTTTTTTTCTTTAAAGAAATTTGGCAAAACTGTCTTGAATTCTTTGGCTCTTTATTCTTAATAGAAACATTTAAGTTTGCACATTATGCTTAAAATTATGCTACAGTGTGTGAGGATGAGTTGGTGCTGATTGCTGATAAGCAATTTTCCACGATTAATTGAATAATTTGTTCCTAAAAATTTGATCTTGAGAGCTCGGAACTATTTTGATTGAATTGGCAGTCAAATTTGGAATAGCAATTTATACTGAAAGTAAGTTGCATTATTTGGCGTGCCTGTTTATTGTTTGCTTTTTGTTCGCAAAACCAAACTTGTTCCATCTGTTTGAGATATTGAAGTGCGTTTTGATGTGCGTCTCTTATCTGTAAATTCACATTCATACTCGTAATAAAAATATAATAATATATTCATTAGCTTCTATACAGTGAACAAAATTCAGTTTTCTTTTCTACAAAATAATTCCCTGGCAAAGAATTTCGTTATATGCAGACCAATTAATTCTAAGGCGCCTAATGTCCAATTAAAAATGCACCACAGTTGATCGGCGCCACGGAAGACAGCGAGACAAATAGATGGTGGGACAGATAAGCGGCGCCCAGTCAACACGTTCCAAACAATTCGGCCCAAAAAACTCGGCGGGCACCAAATTTCCTGGCGCCACCACTTGTGTGACACATTCTTTACAAGGATGCATAGTAAACATCCACTTTTCATTCAAAACGCTGGTATATTTCTTAAAAGATAAATCCTTTTCAATTTTTTTTTCTGAATTAAAATACTGCTTCAATGACTTTACTGAAGATTATTGACTATTTTGACGTTGCTCAGAGACCAGCTTAAAGAAAATAGGATTACAGAAGTATAATAAGATGCGCCTTTTTCTTTGACTACATTGACTGATTTCTTTTATCATTTGCACAGATGTTCTTTCTCACAAAAATTCTAAGAGCAGTTGCAAAAATATCAGACCCTCATTTTATTTTAACTTATTTTTTAGAGGCTTCAGAATGAGATCAAATTATAATTTTTTAACACGTATGGAGGTTTTGTATAAATATAATAACTAATTCGCTTATTTCCAATAATATAGAAATTATGTTACTAACAAAACAAAAAATATGCTGTATATCAAGAAGGTTATTAAATCAAGCATCCTTTTAATATAAATAATAAATTTTTTTTTAACACACAAAAAATTGGAGACTTCATTGCTAAACTCTAATTTTTTATTAAATAATGAAAATTTACATTAATTATGTTATGAGTTAAGTTGTAAAAAATTAAAACCGGAAATATGATTATTGAGGAAATATAAGAAAACGTTTAAACACAGAACTGAAGTGGCTGGGGCATGACTCAATATGAATAACTTGATTCACAATTACATATTTATTTGAAACTGTTTCACAGTCATACAGGAAGTTAAGAAAATTTTGGCGAAATCAAATGTGACAACTTCTGACTTGCGATTGTGTAAATAACTAATTTCAAAGGGATTTTTTCCAAGATTTGTACTAGCACTTTCATCGTGTTAAACTCTTTTTCGAGAAACTGCGCATTAAAATGAGCCCGCATTGCACTGCCGTGGCTGATTTGTTGTACAACACAAAAGCCACCCCCGTCGGCCAGGCAGATGGTGCCGTCGTGGACAAAGGGAAGGAAGGCCTGCGGAGGCGGAGAGTGTGTCTGTGATTGACAGCTATAGGCGCGGAGAGCCGCGAGGGATGGGGGTCCGCCGAATATATGTGTCTGGTCGCGAGCAGCGGCAGACACGCAGGAGCTGCCGGACCCGCGACACACGCACGCTCGAAAACTCCTGGGCATAATTGAAAATCTGCATTACATTTATTATCTCGAGAAAAAGTGGTGGTGCCTCTCTGATTGCGGGCAAGGGCGGAGCTACAGTTGCGAGAGTTGGTGCAGAGGTCGGTCGGACGGAGATGCGGCGCCGCTCAATCGTCGCTGCCATGTCGGGCTTCTTGTACACGCTGCTGGGGCTGACCGTGGGCAGCAGTCTGCACTGCGCCCAGCGACCCCAAATCTCGCCGTGCACCTGCTTCAGCGGCAAGGAGCTGAACGTCGCCTGCGAACGCATGACCTCGTTCGCCGACGTGCACCAGGCGCTCAAGGGTCACTTTGCCGCCGACAAACGCCTCACCCTGCGCATCACCCACTCCACGCTCGACGACCTCGAGGCCCCCGAAGGCCTCGGATTCGCAGATCTTGGCATCTGGGTCAACAAACTCAACATCAGCGAAAACAACCTCAGGTTCGATACTCTTTTTTTTTCAATTTTTACATACTACTTTTAATAAATAAATATAGGTCTAAATTTTAATTTTAACTCCCTGATTAATTGTGTTGACAATAGTTCCAAACTTCATCCTGAATATAATTAAAAATAAAAACTGTTATTTTAAATTAAAAAATAAAATAAAATCCCATTTTAATTTACACTTGCAAAAACGTATACAATAAAAGTATATCGCATCCAATTTAATAGCTTCTACGTTTTTAGTTCATCTTCATTCAATAATATTCCAAATCACTTAAAACTTAAAATTAATTAATGCACTTTTGAGAAACATGATTATATTGTGAGACCAATATTTTTATGCTTACTATTTGATTTAGATACTAGTGGAAATATATACAGCAAAAATAATTAATATTATTCTGCAAAAAAAAAAATTAAATGTTTTTAATCTCCTTTCAATATTCATGAGTTAAAGTTGCCGTTTTGATATTTTAACTGTTTTTAACTATTGTTAAAGCATCTATTTCTATGTTTACGATGATAATCAACTCGCCGCATATTTATTTTTAGAATTTATTTTCTTCGTTCATTAATGATATATCGGAGATAAGAGGCTGAAAAGAATATTCTTTAAAAGAGAATTTTTTAATATAAAGACCGTGTCTCATCAAAAGCCCCAGTTTATTTGTTGTTATCGGGTTCTCAAACGTCAAATCAATCGAAATTAGGCCAGAAATGGCAGAAACGCGTGATACTGGTGATGGCATTGGCTGATATTTTATTTATGTTATTCAAATGCGTCGTCTTCCTTTATGTATAAATAATTTACGCGGCACCTTGAAATCAAGAATATACTGGAAATCCCTTCAGTTTAGGCATAATTTACTTTTTCCTCGTAATTGTTATGTGCTAAAATTCATGTTCGTCCACTAAACTATTTTTATTGAACTAAACTATTAAACTAAACTATTAAATTTTTTAAATTCTAAACTCTGACTGAGCACATATATGTTATTAACGAGCTAAATTGTGATAATTTTCAACATTTTAAAATTTTCAAAATTATAAAAATAATATTGAATCATTGAAAAGGAAATATATATAAAAACAATAATGAGCTGATTACATCCGATTACAACTGCAGCCGTAATAAATTTTATAATTGCATAACAATATGCCTGCTGCGCTGACGAATGAAATCGGCACCGCGGTAGGCACGATTCTTATTCTGTGAAATAGATTTCCGCTGACGGTTTCAAGAATTAGAATATGACGCGCGCGCGCTCGGCTGGCTCGTCTCTCTGTGAGAATTGCCAATTGAGAATTTCATCTGGAATGTCAACCTAGATTGGCTCCAATATCGCAGAGGTCACTGCGCCAATTGGTGACCCCGCCGACTTGTCAGGTACGTGACCTCTGACCTGGTCGCGCGAGAGCTCAATATTCGCAATTGCTACTGCCAGACTTGCAGCGGCACCTCCGTTGATTGACAGTGTGAACGGCTGAACTTTTGATTCATAAAAAATCGCGCCAGGGCTGACGCACTCTCTGGAAATGGGATTGTGCCGGCTGTTCACGTGCTTGGACTTTGATACACTGAAATTTTCTTAGAATTCGGATGAGAAACAGATCAAATTTATGAAATTGACATATAAATTAAAATATTATTGAAAAATACATCTAATTATATAAAGAAAAAACCCACGTTTCCATTTTTCTTTATCTGAATTTTTTTAATGTATAAAAAATTTATTGCCTTACGAAAAAAATTTACTAAAAATTAACAAGAATTTCCAAACTTTGATTTGTAAAATTATAAACATAAGTGTTTTATTCGAGAGATACAAAATGCACATTGGTGATGCGATAACCTTTGGCTTTTTAACGCGCGACTTCATGGGCACCCGCGATTAATTGATCAGCTTTGATATAGACTACAGGCGCGGTATACGATTTCCTTCTTTTTTTTTTTTTTTTTACAAAAAAGCGCGGTGCTAGACGACTATTTCTCTTGCGGCGCCGTGTGTGCGGTGACATGTCCACGTGCGTGTCCGCATTTCCAAAATATTTATACTAAACTAGAAGCAGGCGCCAGACGACATGCAGGGGCAGCAGGCGCGACGCGATTTGTTTCTTTCGAGGCGCCTCCCAGAGTAGATTTGGTGACGAAGTGTAATTAATTAAATGGGACTAAAGCGCTGCAGCGTGCAAACGCATTTATTTCGTGTGCTGAGAAGCGAGAATTTTTTTAAAGTTGGGAAGTTTCTAAATTCTGCCACAATTAAAAATAACTAGAAAAGTTAAAAAAAAAATGTTAAATTAATAACATTACCAAATATTCACATTGATTTGAACTAATTAAAAAATTTATTTGTTTATAATATTGCAGCACTATTTATTTTTATATTATTTTAGAAGTATTTAAAAAATTATATTCAATTCTTTATATTATAAATTAATGTTATTCAAATATACATATTTATCATATTATAAAGCATTATTAAAATAGAACACGTCAAACAAGACAACTCTACGTAAAATGTAATCCATGGAAATTAGTGTAATATATATTTCTGGAATGCTGTATGGCGCTGGTAAATGGTTTGCCAAAATCCATAAGATGATACTTCTTTCTACTGTTCTTGTCAGTGTCTATTCATAATTTCATAATTAATTACTAATCTGGACTATAAACTGTACCTTAAATTATTTTCGATTTCTTAAAATTGTTATGAGCTAAAATTTAAATTCTATAATGCAGATCCCTGCGTTCTGACGCGTTCCTGTCAATGGGGAATGTGACTCTCTTTAACCTGGCAAACAATCTGCTGACGGAGATTCCGTCCGACACCTTGGCTCACATGCCGAAGCTGAGAACACTGACTTTGGGAGGCAACCGGATCCATCAGTTGTCTAATGATGCTTTTGAAGTCAGTTTAAAATCGCATTGGATAATAAGAATAATTTTTAAAATACAAACTTGTAGGATTTGCACAACTTAAAAAGCCTGGTTCTGAGCGACAACGAGATAACTGAGGTCGGATCCAAGACGTTTCCTCCGAAGCTGCAGCGACTCGCGATAGCGCGCAACAAAATCACCACTGTCAACGGATCCCTCAGGTTTGCACTCTCGCGTTTCATTTCCTTCAGACCATTTTGATTTCTGCCGACAGGGATTTGAGCGATCTCGAGTGGCTGTTCATTGAGCAAAACGCGCTGACGAGTCTGGACGGAGAACTGCCGGCGTCGAGCAAACTGGTGCACCTGAATGCGACACACAATCTGCTGACTTCGGTGCCCGAGGACCTCTACCTGCAAAGCGCCATGGATAAACTGCTTCTGAGCCACAACGAAATTTCAGCTCTGAGTGGTTCAATCAAAAAGTTGAGGCGCCTCAACCACCTTAGTCTCACATACAACCAAATCGATTCGGTAATATATTTTTTAATTTAAAAACAATTGATATAATGACAGCATTTTATTTTTTAATTTATATTAAAGCTCAATGAGGATGAATTTTTGGAGTGCGAGAAGCTGCAATATTTGTACCTAGGCCACAACAAGATCACCGAACTGAACGGCGCCCTTCGTCCTTTGCGCGCAGTCGTGCGGGTTTCTCTGCACCATAACCTCCTCACCGAATTTGACCTATCTCAGGTTAGAGGTTTGAAGACGTTGCAGGAGTTGGACCTCAGGTACAACAGGATCAATAGGCTGCTTAGCCGTGTTGAGGTAAATTTAATTAATTTTTAAATTTTTCATTTTACCTTTAGCGTTTAAGAAGGGAGGAATAAATTGAAAATTATTTTTTTATTATTTCTTATTAGATGCAAAACGTGGTTGAGTCATTGGACAGTCCAAACTTAAACGAGCTGCGTCTGGGACACAACGAGCTTTCCACGTTGGACGGTTTTCTGCTTGGCCTGAGGAGCCTGCAGAATCTCGACCTGAGCCACAACAGATTGCGTCACTTGCCGCCAGACGAGCTGGTCGGTCTGGATAACCTGAAGTTCCTCGACATCAGCCATAACCAAATTTCAACACTGGCAGACACGTCAAAGGTAAAGAATTTTAAATTTTAAGCTCTGCCCAAAAGTTTTGAAAAATTGCTTTTCAGAAATTGCTGCCTTCACTGGAAAATCTGCTTGCTGGCCACAACGACTTGAAGGTTTTAGACAATGATCTTCATGGTTTCCCGAAGATTTGCTTTGTGGACTTGTCGCACAACAAGATCACCACCATAGGCAATGCCGTGGCCGCAAAGAGCTCCTGCTTACACAAGGACGTTATTGCCACACTGCGTATTTTCCTCCAAGGTAAAAAACAATTAATCTTCCTTATTTCCTGATAATATCTGTATCAGTTCAAATTGAATTAAAAATTTGCAATAACATTTAACGTTATTTATATACATATAATTAAAAAATACTATGCAACCTGCCAGGCAGAAGTGTCACGCAGGTTGCATTCTATGAATCACAGGGATTTTCCTTTCTACTATCTACAAGCCTAGAATAGTCATAAAGAATGCGATTAAAATAAATCGATCAGCAAATTGATAAAATTATTTATTTACTTAATGGTCGGTTTTCTAAGAAAAACATTTCATCATAGAATTATAGTGCCATTAATTAATTAACGTTTCAAATAATATTATATTATATAGCCATTTAAATCTGATATTATCAAATCCTCCGGTTGGCAGAAATTAATTAATTTATTTTAACAGGCAACGAAATTGAATGCACCCAAGAGCTGGCCATCGCTAAGGAGATAAATGAGGGTTACCGCTCCGAGTTTGTTGGAGTCCCCGAATGTGAAAAGTTTGCATTGCCACCTGTTGTACCTTCTGCGGCTCCAACCCTAGTGGTGTCCCCTCCCCTGGCAAGCATTCCCGAGATTCTGGAGGTGAAGAAGCTGGAGGTGGCCGAGGAGACGGTCAAACGACAGCCCTTCATGGACGAGCTGAACGAGGCGGCCTATCTTGCCGAGCCGATTTCGGAGCGGGAAAATGATGAGCGTCCTGGAGGGACAGTTCTGCAAATGGGACCACTCCTGCAAGCGCTCGTCGCCAGCAGCACGCCGCCGGCAGAATAGCACAAAATTTCATGGGAAGAGTCTAGTAGAAAACTTTTCATACCCAGTCATACTCTGAAGAAATAATTATTTAAACAATTTAACCCACAATTATTAGTTTTTCAGCCAAACTGCCTCTCTGGCTCTATAGTTACAGAGAAACACCAGCCAAATGTAGAAAATTTCCTGTAGTTCTTAGCTCCATCTAATTATAGCTCATTAACTCAATATGTATTGGAAAGTTAGTTTTTATTCGCAGGATACAATTTTATTTTTAATCCTAAGACGACTTGGAGTTTTTTTTTTAATCTGGCATATTTCATATCATAAAAAAAAAAAATAGGAAATAACTCTGGAAACTGTTAAAAAAAAACAAAGAGACGGTTTTTCTATCACTTACGAAAAATAAGATCATCATATCAGGTATTGCAAATGAATTACCTCCAAGAATTAAACCAAGGATGAATAGATTTTAAGAGTTGTGAAAATATATAATAATTGTATTCAGAACTAGAATTTAAGAACTAATCTGTAGAAAAGTAGGACTTGATTGCTAGATTTTTAAAAACGTGCACGTTTCAAATTTGTAAATTTCATGGTTTTGTCCAAATGCCAAATTCAATTTGACTGCGAAACTTTTTCGAGAATTTGGTAAAAGTGTCAATAAACGTTATTGGATTTCAGTTATATTGTGTGTCGCGATTGAAAAATAAACAAAATTCATAATTTTTCGATCAAAATGTTTGTTTGATTAATTTTTCTTATCTTCAGTACATGAAAAAACTACCTGGCCAGAGTTTCTTTTGCTTAAGTCTACAAATTTTTCATCAGAGAAACTAGGGTTATTTTTCTAATATTCACAGATTTTTTTTGTGTATTTAAAGCTCATTTTCATACAAGCATTATTATTATATTTCATATCAATATAATTTCCTAATATTTAATCATACACATTTTATCAGTTGTGAGTGCCATTATCAGGTCAAAGGAAACAGGCGGAATGCATAAAATATAATAATAATTCTTTTGAGTGAGGATACATTTCACTGGTCAAAGAAGGGACAGTAAAAACAAGATTGGAACTTCAAAGTAAGGAGGAAAAAAATCACACGCGTACGTATTGCAACAAAGATAAAACAACTGAAGGCGAGAGAACAGTTGAGTTCAGATCACATAATATTTTTGTTTTAATTTTCAAATTTATGTTGAGCCTTCAAAAGGCAAGTGTTCCACCTCACCCATCTCTGTGACCAGGTCACCATCCACACAATAGGACAGCATTAATTTGAGGCCGATTTTCTGCTCCTTTGGGTTTGCCAGCAGCATCAGCTGGGTGACCGCTGGGGGCGGCAGGAAGGGGCTGAAGGCAGGCAGCTCGGAAGCCGAAGGGGGTTGGAGTCGCACCTTGCAGGCCTTGCTGGGCACCACACACTGACACACGAGACTGTCCAGCGGTTGTGCCAGGCGGCTTTGAATGGAGACGACAACCACTCGGACACCAGGTCTTGGGCAGTTCTGGGCCACGTGCAGAGACACGTGAAGGCCCTCTGGCTGGTCCAGAACCACCACTGGGGGGATTCGACTTGGACGCACTTCAGTCAAACTAACAGTGAGGTTGGCTAAAAGAGCTTTACAATCTATCGGAGGTTCTTCGGAAGCTCTTTGCGGCTCAACTGTGGCCGTCGGTGGTTTTTCAGGTTTTGGGACATCTTTGGAAACTGTGTTTACGTTAGGCAAGTTTAAGATATCTGCGGGTATTTTAGAATTTGTTTCAGGAGGCCCATCCATATTTAAAGGTTCCAGGTCGGGGAGACTGTCCGACTTTCCAAAGTCCAACAGTGAGTCGTCTCCGTGGTTTGCGTTTTCAAAATCTAGAATTGCATCATCGCCGGTGCTGATTTTTTTCTGCTTCTTTTGCAGACCTTCAGTCATTTGGGCTTGAACGAGGAAGTCCAGGTCGAGGCCCTTGAGGGGGTCACCGTGTGGTTTTTTCTCCACTTTGACAGTTGTAGGGGAGGAGATGAAATCGGCTGAACCCGTCATTAGGGAGGGATTGGCTTTTCGAGGCCCCAACTCCACTTTGGCGCCCATGATCGGTGCGTCCATCAACAACGGCCCGTCCAACAACTGTGCGCTCATGGGCGTCGATTCGGCAACCGAATTCATTCCAGCCGAACTGAAAATTTCCTTCAGCTGGTCGGCGTCACTTTTGTTGTTCTGCGCCACGGAGCAGGCTTCGTCTTGGCCTAAGTCAAGCAGGGATGCGCCTGCGGACGTTGTCCTCAAGGGCAGTTTTTCACCTCGGAGGATCACAGCTGTGTAGATATCCAGGACACGACTGAGCTCTTCCCCAGCGGAGATGATGTCGTTGAGAATTTCCTCCTGGTCGGCACACTCCTCAGCAAGGTTGCTGAGGGTTGGCCTCAAAGTTTCGCAAGTCTGTTTCAATTCAGACATTAACTCCAAGTCAGCAGTGTTGGCACCTGGAAAAATTATGACTTAATATTTATTTTTATAACGTGAGATTTTTTACATATTTGCTGTCATTTTAAATTTAAAGAGTTTTAATTGAACTAATTTTGCTGACTGTTTTTATCTGTACCAGATTTGTTGTAGTGCGTGAGCATTTCCATGAGCAGTTGGCAGTTGTTTTGCACCTGCTCAACCTTGCTGGTGGCCTTGCACTGCCTCTCCGTGCGCTTCTCGTCCTCTCGCACCATCGATTTGATCAGTCTGTTGGCCGCCTGCAAATCGTCCGGGTGTTTGCTCTGCAAAAGTCGCTTCAGCAGCTTGGACTTCTCGTCGTCCTCAAACACTGAAGTTTTGTCCGACGGCCTCGGTGGCACAACAGCGCATGGTGAAGACATGTGATCGTCTGTGACTACCCCCTGCTTACGGAGCATGTCAAAGGCGTCCTGGATCTTTGTTTCCTGTAAAAAATTATTTTATTGTAGCAAAAAATAAAACAAAAATTAAAAAATTAACCGAGGAAAATATATATTTTTTTTATTATAAATAATTTAAAAAAGGTAAGTTATCAACCTGAGGATACTGCCTTGTCCAGCCAAAAAGCATCTCAAGGACTCTGCTTTTGATGGCAGGAGCGGTGCGAGGACCCAAGTACTTGGGCGACACGACGCGGATCAGCTCGTTGAGGAAACGAAACTTGGCCACTTCAGGAAGCAGAGACGGACACGTGCGGACGCAGTGCTCAAGGATGTGCAAAGCTTGCAGCGCCTCCCATTCGTGACTGGATTGGATTTTGGCCGCAAGCAGACGGGTGGCCAGCAGGGCGCCGTCAGGTTCGACATTCACTCGCTCGCAGAAGCGGTCGATGGCTGCTGTGTCCGGGCCAGAGTTTGCCGGGTTGCTGGCCGCCTGCAACAGCTGCTCCAAACTCGGCATCCTCTCCAAATAGTGGACCTTTGGAGAAAACACGAAAAACACGATAAAGATAACTAAAATTATGTATGTATGTATGTCTAAAATGTTGAAAAAAATCAATGCACACAAAAAGCATAAAATTAAAACCACAAGAGAAAAATTTGATTTCTTGATTAAAATTATTTGATTGCAGCGAATATACATCTTATGCGCAAATTTACTTGACGCAGTGTGTTGTGAACCGCAATATGTATGTACGTAAAAAAAATGGAAAAATAGGAACCACTCCTTGTTGTCACCAAGTTCTCCATTCTTACCGAGCCAAATTTGGGATTTATCTTGAAACAAGCACCATCGGTAGCGATTCAGTGCAAATAAATGGCCATGCCCTAAGCGTGTAAAACGCAAAGTTTCCCAATTTTCATCTCTTCGCGGCGGCGAAATGAAAATTAATCGATGAAATTTCGCCGGAGTCTGCAGAATTAGCGAAAACACTGCATTGACAGTGTCACGCCCCCTTTTGGTTCCTCGTCGCTGATTGGTCGACACTCATTTGTTGTGATCGCCATCTTGAAATTTTCCCTTGACCAAATAAATCTCACGCACTTTACGTTTTACCGATTTGCGAAGTTTCTGGAATCGCAGCAACATTACTATCAATTCAAGTGAGTGGAACTGATGAAACTTTAATCCCAGCAAGTGAATTAACTCAAAATGTGATTACGCTTTTGCAGAAAAGGACAAATCAAACCTACCGGCAAGATGAATATGAAAAATATCTCGGCTAAGTCTGAGCAGGTGCGTGTCGATTGCACGTAGACATTATCCTCAACTTAAATACATACAACAACAAATAATTAAATACTTGTTTGTTTATTTCAATTAAAATCGTTATTTTCTAGGCTGTGAATGCCGCCAGGAGACAAGGAGCCAGTGTTGACACGACTCAGAAATGTATGCGCAGAAATACTTTACATACATATATTTAAATTAACCAAATTCATATTTGTTACAATCAAATACAGACAATTTTGTTCTCATGTTTTTTAAAAATAGTTTTGCGAAACAGGCGCGATTGCCACCTATAAAAACATGAAGTGATGCACTGAAATACATATGTAGAAACGCAGAATAGTTGTAATTTCCTTTACTCTTCCGATATCTCATGCAGCAAACAATTTTAAATTAAAATAGACTGGATTAATAAGAAAAATATTTTTTAGGGGGTGCTGCCACCAACAAGCAGCACCAGACCACCAAGAACACGGCCAAACTGGACCGCGAGACTGAAGAGCTGAAGCACGAGAAAATTTCCATGGACATTGGCAAACTGATCCAGCAGGGACGTCTGTCCAAAGGCTGGAGCCAGAAGGAACTGGCCACAAAAATCAACGAGAAGCCGCAGGTTATCAACGACTACGAAGCTGGCAGGGCCATTCCTAACCAAGCCATTCTAGGCAAGATAGAACGTACTATTGGTGAGCAATAATTTTTTTCACTCTTTTGCAAATTTCAGGAAAATTTTAAATCATGCGGGCTTAATTTGGTCATGTTTTGTTATATAGCAATTAAAATATAAATAATAAGTTTACCTTGGAAAAGTTTGTTCAAAGAAATACATAATTTATTTAGAGTAAGCCCTAAATTTATTTTGCTTTCGTTTGAATGCCTTATATTGATAAATTTTATAATTATTATATTTTGATTTTATATATATGATCAAATTTTATCAGCATTTTGTTATAAAAAAAAATTAATTTGTTCTTTTATGTTGTTAAAATTGTGTCTCTAAACAGGTACAAAGATTCAAGGAAAAAAATGAAGCAGATGACCATGAAATATCCCGTTCAATTTAGTGATTAATAAAAAAATCAGTTAAATTCAAAATTAAGTACTAAAAGCAGAGCTATGCTAATAAATTTGGAGTTATCATGAGTCATATTCTTTTTGTTTCAGGCTTGAAACTAAGAGGACAACACAAAGGAGAAACTGTCCCTGGGGTAGGCAAGAATTAACTTTAATGTGGCCTACTCCCCAGGGAAATAGAGTTGACCTCTGCAGATTGGTCAACTTAAATTTAAACTTAATATAATTTAAGAAAATATTGTATAAAAAAAATGTCAGTGCTTGAAGCAGCAGCTATAACCGAGCGTCCACTCTGGCCTTTTCTACTATAACTGCATTGACTGTCTAACTTGTTCACCGACATCATAAATGCCAAAAAATGCTCCAACCCCATGTCTTATTTCCTTTCATATGTGAATAATATTGTAACTCCTTTTTTATCGCGAATTTTAACTTGTATAAAAATTAAAACTAAAGTGGTAACAAGTTTTTAATTTACAACTTACTGCAAGCATTTCTATGGTTTTGCTCCTGTAGGGTTGAAAAGACAATGTGTGGATTTCATTTTTCCCCATGTTCGGTTTGCCGATTTGTGATAATTCATTTTTGGCGATGACTGCTGAATAAATGAAGTAGTACACTGGTAGAAAAGCTTGTGATATTCTTTTTTAACCCTTTCCTTATTAGGAACTAAAAAATATCGTATTAATAAAGAATTAATTGAAATGAAAATTTAATCCTGAAAAATGTTTTTGATTATTGAAGAGAAATTTTTCCTAAATTTATCGACAAACTTTATTTTTCTAAGATTTTTCATCCATCAATGTTTTATTTTTAAATTAATTTCTATTCAAAGACTTTTCGATTACAAAAAAAGTTGAACTTCTGTTTTTATTACTTTTCAATGGAATTTATTAAAGCAAATCTTTGTAATAGTAATTAGTACAAACGAGAAGTTCAAAATTTAATCCTTCCTCAGTGGGAAAGACTCTGAGCGAACGCCATCCTTGGTGATGATCTTGATCTCAATCCCGTCTCCGGTGTAAATGTCTCTCTCAGCAGCCGAGATGAAAACTTCCTTCAGAATTGCCACAGCTTTGTCCAATTGAATCGGCTCGACAACAACTCCTTCTTGGTTTTTCAGTCCAATCTAAAATTGCAAAATAGTTTCTAGTTCAGAAAAATATTATTATATATTGAGTTACCTGATTGTCCAAGAGCGGTTGCAGAAGAGCTCCAGCTGAACCACCAGCCCTGTAATCTGAGCGGGCAAAGTGGCCGATGGGGTCGTAACTGAAGACACAGCCTTTTCCCTCAATGTCGAAGCCAGCAAGGACGTTGGACACGTAGTAGGGGAAGAAACGTTTGTAGTACATCATGGTGGACAACATCTGTGCAATAGCTGGCGTGGACATGACCTTGTTGTGGGTATGCTCGTACATCTAAAATTTTCAGAAATTTTTCCTTCATTAGCAAAGATAAATTAGAAAGAAAAAAATAATTATTTGATCTAAATAATTGGTATAATTTGTAAGGATTTTATACCTTCATTCTAGCCTCAACCAGTCTTGTGAGGGTGAGAGTGTCGCACCAGCAGCCGGTCGAGCCGAGTACAGTGGAGTTGGACAGTTGGAAAAGCTTTGATTGCTCCCTTGTGTGGATGGAAAAGCCGGAGCTGAGACGCGTGTCCGAGCCGATGACCACAAAGTCGTCTCCAGCAATCGAAACGATGCTCCTGAAATGTTAATATTTGCATTCAAAAATTGGCTGACAGTAGTCGGCGTTGACGCATTTGGCAAAACGTACCCTCCATTGTCGGAATAGGGGCTGAAATGGTGGCTCACGGGGTTGGCCGCGTAGTCGGGCAGGTAGCGATTTTCACCTTCGGCCATCGCCATCACGTCTGCACTCGGAATTCGGCAAAAACCAGACAAATTTGCAGAATGACGGGCAGTAATTTTCTTCTCCGGCAAGCTTTTTTTATTACAGTCATCGATCATTCTGATTGGCCCCTTCTTCAGCGACCTCAGCGCCTCTGGTGTTTGGCTTTGGAGACGAGCACATGTTTTTAAAACAATAACAAAATTGAAAAGATCCAAAATTGTCTAATTTTCAAAGTTAAAGCAAACTCGGGTTTCAAAAAATAGTTGCTGGAAAAACGGAAAAGAAGATTCTGCACCCTTCCTGTTAGAAGAAAATTTTGAAGGTTTGTTCGACAGAAAGTTTTTGAAGTTTTTTTTTCTGTCAATCATCCCCAAAGTTTTGCTTTTGGATAAAATTTCAATATATGTAATTTTGGCCCTGTTGGCCCCGCAATTAAAAAAATTTACATTAAATTATTGACAGAAGGAACATGGCTTCGAAGGCGGTTCATCTTCTGGGTCGGTGTTTGCCGTTCTTCCCTGGCAAATCAGTCGCAAACGCTACCAGGGTACAGATCAGGAAGCTCCAGTTGGATGATAGTATTAACATGGTGCGTTATTATTTGCAGAGCTAACCATTTGAATGAAATATTAATTTGTTTCAGTATTTCCCTGAAGACACAACAATCTTTGTGCACGATCCAGGTCAGCAGTGCAAACCAGGAGATATTGTCCTCATCAAATCCCTTCCCAAAAAGCTGACACCGCTCATAGAACATGAAGTTCATCGGGTCGTCTACCCCTTTGGTGACATCAAAGACCCTATTACGGGAAAGAAAGTTGTCAGCGATATGTACAGGTTGAAAATTTTTGATAATTTATATATAGATTTCGACATAACAATATTCAACATTTTACTTGAAGAAATTGTGCAACTCACACACATTTGTTTTTTATGCAGAGAGGACATTGAGTTTGTCAGTGAGATGTACGGAAAGAACAAGGACAGCTTCAATTACGAGGAGGCTCCTGAGAGAGGCTGGCAGGAAGACAAGAAGGACTTTAGCCACAAGCAGAGCTACCGCCGCTTCCATGTTTATGACAAGGAGGACAAACAGCCGTACGCAGTTGACCACTAGAGCACTAGATTTGTGATAAGTAGAGTTTATTTATTAAAAATAGAAAAGCTGAAACATAAAATGGTGTTTTTATGAAGATTTTTTTTAATAAACCAGGGCGTTGAAATCTAATTTTGTGTGTGAAAGTGTTCAGACAATTAATTAGAATTTCATCTAAAAGTTTCTTTCCTTTTAATGTACTTTATTGGTTTAGTTATTAATGATCATTAACGAGGAGCTTTTGACATCTACATTGTACAAAAAATCTCCTCAACCTTTTCCCTTAAGATCATTGTAAATTTTTTATGTCGACTGACCTAATCATTTTATTTTTTTTTCTTCATTGGGGTGATATGAACGTGATTTTCTGAAATTTTTATCAATTTTGATCAAACCTATTATGAGAAAAAAATTATTTTAGAAAATTCCCATGGGCATTTCCATGAGTCTCAAGGTCTTTGGAGGATTTTTTTTAGCAAACCAAAAGCTGCAGGTCAAAGGTCAAGGTTACTTTAAAGCGTTTTTATTTTTTTAGTAACAAAGTTCAATATTTTCAATACGGAGCAATCTAAATTTGATTACTTTAATTCTAATCGTCTTCATTTTTGGTATTTTTGTAAAGATTCAGATGATTCAGATTTTAATTTAATACTAAATTACAAGGTGTGTCTAGCAAGAAAACACTTTCAATTTTCATTAATGTGAGTTTATTATAATATCTTGTCAGTATTCATAATGGTACTCATACTAAAAATTGAGGCGACAAATCGAGACGATAATACAGTACAAATCAAATGTCCGAACAAAATAAATTGTACACCATCAAGATTTTGGTATTTTACCTTGTCTGCTTTTGAGAGTATTCTTTTCTTCGTGTGTTGCTCTTTTGTGTCCGGGTAAAAAAAGTTAATTTAAATTTGTCATCTCGTACATCGCAAAAGGATCACAGATGAAAGGAAAACACAAAATCATTCCGCAGACACGCTTAAATATACATGACGACTTCGTTTTTATAATTTAATAAATTACACTCCTTTGCATCTGACATTAAAAAACACATCAAAAAATTAATACCTAAAGGACTACAAAGTGTGTGTGTGTGAGTGTGATTGGATGCTTCCGTAAAAAAATCTATACTCGAGAACACAATTAATACTTATACATATGTATGCAATTATTACGTTACAATCCTCATTTTTCGTTTCCATCCTCTCTCGTTTAAAATTCCTATAACGCTTGTTTTTTTTTTTTTTAAATTTATATCAATAGTTGGAACCAAACCAATGCAACGAGTAATACGTACATACGCTAAAGTGTGTGCAATTTTTGTTTTCAAATACCACCATCGCATCTCGTCATAGTACTCTTTTTTTATTTTATACAACTGCAGTCTCATTAAGATCGAAAGGGCCGCGGGTCATTCGGAAATTTCCTCGACCCCATCGCAACGCGCTTTCGTTTTTCTGCTTTGGGTGTGTGAACGATCATTTTGCTTTTTTCTTATTAACCGAGAAAACGAAAATTCGGGAGGTAGAAAAATTTGCTATGGAATGTCCCTGATAAACGTTGGAGCGAAAAAAGAAGTTTTGCGAAATTGCGTTCGTCTTATTTGAAATTGACCGGTGGATTTTTCTGTGTGCTACAAAGACATGTACAATTTTATTTTTATCTATATAACTCTTTCTTTCTTTCGTGTTTTATCCGAGAATGATAATAATTGAATTGTTAATTAATTAATTATTCACTCGCTGATGTTTTCAGACCTAATAACGCGGCAGCACCGATGAGAAATCAATCAAATTGGTAACCGAGCTCTCGATTATTAGGCCTACGTTTGCATTTTTTCAGAAAAACACGCGCACAAAGATTCTACAAGTGATATAGAGACAGTCGGAAATGAAAGAAAGGTCCTCTCGCATCTCATAAAACCGCTCGCACTTTTTTTTTGTCATATCAAAAAACGTACAAAATTTCTCCGGGTGGATTAGTTTCTTTTATGTAATTAATAAATCGTTTCGATATTTTATTGCGCTGCTTTCGATGAAATATTTTTTTTAAGTGAGAAATGAAAACCGCCGATTTTGGTGAACATTTGTCGACATTCTCTCAAGTCGCATTCAAACACACTGGTAAAATAGCTGCTGCAGTCAGGAAAGTTGGTTGAATTATCTGGCAGTGTGTTGGAAATATGTTCGGTTCCCAAAGATGTGAGATTATTTTAATTTTAAAACCTCTGGAGCGTCCAAAGATGGAAAAAATTTATTAATTTTAAGCTCCGAAGTTGCTCTTTCGGTCGGGGGCTATTCACAAATGACATATTGCTTTTTCGCTTGCACACTGTCCTCGTTTAAAATTAATTGCACCTCATTCGCTCGCACCCCAATCGGTTACAGACAGCAGGGTCTACTTTCGCACTCGAATATAGAGTTTAATTAATTAAATGCAGAATTATTTGTGGATTTTTTTCCGGTACGCACAACTTAAATTTAGGCGCTCTTAATTATTTACTTCTTTTTTGTGTATGATTGCACTTAAAAAATTACATTCGAGCTGTCCAATAAAAATCTCTGCTCCCTAGTGTGATTTTCTTCGTTTAGTTTTTAATACATATCGTTTTATGTGTATAATTAACAATCGGATGAGAGATTTTTCCACGTCGAAACATTCATGACAACAACGCAATTTGCAACCGTGGTGAAACATTCATGTGTGAGATGAAAGAGAGAGATAGACAGACTTTAATTAGTTGATAATTAATTCCGTCTTTGCTTAAAGAGTTTCCTTACGATTACAGGTATTTTTCTTTTCGTTTGTTATTACAAATGGAACCTAATGACTAAACTTGCATGGGGTGAGAGAGAGACAATCCTCAATCACTTTTCGTAATTTTTTCATATACATGTGGCGAGACTGATGAGGTTTTTTACTTCCTTCCGTGCCTCCCTCGTACATCGTCATTTTCAATTAATTTCTTCTTTGTGGAAAATTGAGCATTTTAGGGCTCGCACGCGTTTGCTCCGTTTGATTTTTAAGTATTTTTCAAGTATGTAATAAATTTTTGGTTCGCACAGATCATAAATCTGTCTTTCTTCTCGAGCCCCTTTTTCGGAGATTCGTATGTAACAAGATAATGATTTTCGTTTTCAATCTTGAAATGTGAGATGTTTTTTAATTCGTCAACTTGCGATAGTTTTTTTATCCGCTTATAATTTTCATTTGATCAACAAGGCCTCCCGTATCTGTTTCTTTCCTCCTTCTGGACAAGCTTGAGTATTTTCCTCTCGTTAGAGCCCCTTTCTTATTTTCTTTCTTTCAGTCTAAGCCTTACGAGTTATACAATTTAACATTAATGACTGGCCCATTGATTCCTATGTACACAAGTGGAAAGTGTATAGCTGCGTGTGTTTGAGAACAAATAATTAAGGTACCACTCGAATATTTTATATAAATATGACACAAGAAATTAATTGGTATGATTATAACCTACAAATTACTCCATTTATTAATTCCGCGCTCGAAATCAAACACGGCATGTATTACTTTAATTAAGCTCATACGGTGTAGGAAAAAAATTATTGCAATAAATACATACATGGGCGCGGTTTATATTTTTTTTACATGCTGTTTGGCACACTTGCACTTATTGAAAATTAAAAACTAATCAACGCAAAACACCCTTGGAAAATGACGTTCCATTTTGATTTTCAGTAAAACGAAATATAAAAACAACGATCGATTCGCATTTTCACCTCGAGGTTTTGTGTTTCTTCTTTGGCTTTCGGAAATATACTAAGTGAGAGGATTTCTTTTTATACACAAATGGCGGCCATTCGAGATTGGCGCGGGCCCATTCTGGCGTGGGTATTTTCAATTAGCATGGGCGTGCAGCGCGGCAATCATTAAAATTAAATTTGAGATCTGACAAATTCAGTGAGTGATTCCCTGTTAATATAGGCTGCGTGCGAAAATATTCCTAGAAATATAGTAGCGATTATCCTTCTCCTTACATCTATAATTGTAACTAATAAGAATTTTTTCGCACGGGTACATCAACAACTAGTGCAGCAGTTTTTGGTGTAGCTGTCGATTTCGTTAGAGTTCAGGGGCTTCTTGCTTTCTTTCTCTCTTCTTTCATTCAGTCGTGACTTAGTGCAGTTGGTGGAGGATGTCTTCGTCGCCCTCGAGCTCGTTGCCGTACATGTCGGCGAGCTTCGAGAAGCGCGGGCCCCAGCTATTCAGGTATTCAAAGTCTTGTTCGCGATCATCTGCTCAACAAAGTCCCGTGTAAGTTTCTCACGAAAAAACATAAAACTAGAAAACAAACCTGAACCAACTGAGGAGAGGGAGCCTGCGGTGCTGCCGCCACCCTCGTAGGCGTAATTCCTGAGGTCGTCAAATGGTGGAGCGTTCGGGTCACTGTCCGCCCTCTTCTTGTATTCATCAATGAACAGGCCAACGTTAGGCTCCTGGCCCATAACCATTGGTGGGACTAAAAAAATTTGTAATATTTCAAGTTCTAAACACATATTTTTCCATATAAGTAGTAAATAATTATATAATTTTTTTTTTTTAAATATTAAAGTTCATGTTAGTCGGCTTTTAGGGGTTAAAAAGTCAACTATTTTAAGTTGATTTTACTGAAATGTAGTCGCCTCAAAATTAAGCTTTTTTTTATTTCTTACAAAATTTTGCGGAAATTTGTTTGAAAGTCTGGAACAACCTATTTTTCTCTAAAAAATTTAAAAAAGTCAGTCATTTTAGTCAGTTTTAGTCGCTTTAGTTAGAATTTGAAGATATAGTCAATTTTAAATAGGTTCCAATCGTAATAAAATCACTTGATACACGCATAAAATGCATTTTCGTTTTTTGTTAAGTTCATTTCAGAGCGACGTAGAAAGAAATTTGATCAACTTTATTTCTAGAGCCTAATTGAGCCTTATTATTACATTTTCTCTAGATCTCTAAAAATTTATCTCTATAAACATTGAGATAATGAATAGAAATAAAAATTTAAAAATATATTCACAATTGAAAGAAACAGCAAACTCACATGGTAGTTTTGGTGCGACTGCTAGATCAGGGGCGCCGACCGGAATCTGCAGAGGGGTGATGTCGAAGGCGGTCATGTCGTCCTCGCCGCCACCCTCATCATCGTAGTTGATGATGTTCTCTCTGACGTCGTCGTCAGGCCCTGGATATTTAATGTGCGCCTCGCGACGACGGTTGTACACAACGAAGACGAGCACCAAAACTGCAGAGGAAAAACAAAGAACGCGTTAATAAAATATATTTTTTGTTTAGTTTTGAATGATTTGGAATCTTAGGTGAATCATTTGAAATTTAAATTAATAATTGATTATATTTTGGTTCCAAATCATTTGCTAGTTAAACCACTCCATGCACAACGTCCAATAAAAAATCTACAGAATTTCTATTTTCTATCACATGCAAAAGAGAAATTGAATTTTCTACAATATTTGAGCAATTTCTGTGCATGTTACCTTCATCCTTTTTGATACGAAAGATTAGCTTTCAAAACGACTCTACCATCAAATAAATTTAGTTGGTTAAATTTTGACAATCTGATTTTACCAAATCGATTTCAAACCTCACACGTTATTTATGCTGCAAGATTTCAATATGAAAATTATCAAACAAGAATTGCTGAAAATAATTGTTAGGAAATTCTTGTTTGATTTGTTAGTCAAAAGCCACCACACGTCACGGCAGAAAACGAGAGGTTATTGTAAAAATAAATCAAATAAAAAGAAAATAAATCACTCGGAAAAACAGACACTCGGCAAAAGTTTCAAATAAAACGGATAAAGGAAAGTAAAACCAAACGCAATTAAGAGAAAAATAAAAGGGCGTAATTACTAATGAGGGTGAGGATACAGGCAAGGAAGGCCACTAGAGAGTCGGTCGAGGGAGTGATTGTGGTGGCCGGCAGCAATTTGAGTTCGCAGTTCTGGCCCGTGTACCCCTCTCGGCAGAGGCACCGGTAGCCGGGCTCCGAGTTGCGGCACTTGCCACCGTTCTGGCACGGCATCTGCTCGTGACATTCGTTAATGTCCACGCACTGCGCGCCCCGAGACCTCAGACCCTGAGGGCACCTGAAAATTAAGCCATTTTTTTCAGTACATACCTTTGATAAATTGAACGGCCCCGTCTTCAATAAATCTCCAACTCGCTTGGCGTAAACATTTATGTATATATTTACAATAAAATTTTAAATAATAAAAAGTTTTGAGAGACGCTGGAATTACGTGGAAATTATTTAAATTTAAAAATTCATAAATTTAAAAAAAATATAATTGAAAACAACAAAACATTTACAGGTTCTTTTCCTAAAACTTGCAATTAATTGCAAAGCATTAATTTAATTAATTTTTAATTATTTTTTTTATATATATTTTCAATGCAATTCCAGGCTCTCAAAACCTTTGGTGCGCACATTCTCCTAAAATTTTGACTACCCTTTTTAGCTAAATTGCAATTTATGTATCGACAGATAGAAAAGCAAGCAACATCCAGAACGAGGTAATCATATAATTTTTGCCGCTGGCACGTACTGAGGATGATCAGCAGGCAAACGAGGATGGCGGCCAGGGCCCCCATGCTCAGTTTCAGGGTCTGGCCCTCCTGCACCAGTTCGCAATTCTCGCCCCAGAAGTTGTCCGGGCAAATGCACCGGTAGCGGAGGCGCGGGTCCTGGTTGACGCAGACGCCGCCGTTCAGACACGGCGCGTCCAGACACTCGTTCTTGTCCACGCAGCCCTTGCCGTCCGGCGAGATGATCCTACCCTCCCCGCAACTGACATACGCCAATCACTTATTAATTTCTCGATTCAAAATATTACCGAGGATAAAATAAAAAAAATGTATAAGGGAATATGCCACGCAAGTTGCCTAACCTAAAATTCTGCAGGCGTTTCAAAAATAATCTAAACGCAGAAAATTAAATTGTTGTCAAGAATTAAACTTATAAGAATACAATTTTCTGCAATTAATGATCATTTTGTAAAATTAACTATAATGGCTCTGTTTTTTTCCTATAAAGTTTAAATTTTTATATTGTTTTATATTGACTTATCCCTACTTAAAAAAGTGGTAAAAAATATTTTATCTTAGCACCGATCCCTTAGTTTTAAACGTTTCAAATATATATTTTTTCTTATAAAATAAAATATTACTGGTAAAATAAGAAAAATAAATTTTGTCTACTTACGTGCACTCATATTCATTCCAAAGGTCGACGCACTCGAATGGATCAGGGCAGATGACGTTGGCGCAAGGCTTGTTCGAAGGGCAGTTCCTGTCCAGATTCCTCGCCATCGTGGCCTGTCCCCATTGAGTTCCGTTCATAGCAGGTGGCAGGGGCAGGTGTTTGCCCTCAAGCCTGATGTCATCGATGCAGCCTGAATTTTTTATCAGAATTAATATTTTGCCTGAACACCTTCTCTCTTTTCTTACCTTTCTGGAAATCGGCGTAAACCTCAAAAGTGCGCACGCCAGTGTATTCGGCCTTGCCTCCGGCGTAAACTCCCTCCTGCTTGTCAACCATCAAGTGCTGGTGACCTTCAAAGGTGAAGGTCTCGTTGTATCTACGACCTTCACCTCCGTCCAACTCCAGCATTGCAGCTGAACCGTAACGAGTAACCTAAAATGGCAAAATGAATATTTTGTTTTATTAAAATATTTCATGAATATTTTACTAAAATAGAAAAAAATTAAACAAGCAAAGAAAGAATAAAAATGTTTTAATTTCATGGTTTTGGTTTCCAAAATAAAATTCTACAGCAATTTTTAATTTAAATTCTATGCAAATGAAACAATTTTTTTCTTTAATTGTTTTCAACTGTACCTTTGCTGTGTGCCATTGTCCATCGTTGACCATGATAGCGTTGAGCCACAGGTCCTTCTCCTCAGTGCGCAGACTGTTCAGGTTGAACCTGAAACGCAGGCGGCTGTCCTTGATTTCGAGAATGCCGTACTCCCTGTTGTGTTGGTCGCTGACGCGGAAAAGTTCTCCGTAGTCCTCCCTAGTCCGGAATCGCAGCTGAATTTGGGTCGAGTAGCGGTCCGGCTCGAAGGACAGCGCGTACTTGACGTAACTCTGAGGGCGGAAGGTGGTCGGCGCCGTGGGCTGCGTGCAGCCTGGTCCGGTCCAGCCGGCGCGGCACTCGCACTTGGGCTCGGAGAAGGAACCAGCACAGACGCCGTGGGGCTCCCAACACCTGATGGCAGGGGTGCCGTCGTGGCGGGTGCTCGTGCCGTAGCCTCCGGTGCACGCGTCGTCGGTCTGCGGGCAGTTGGCCTCGCTGTGACGGGTCATGCCAGGGTGGGCCAGGTCGTAAAGCTGAGGAAAATTAAACACTTGATAATTGAAAACTCTACAATTTTTATTTTAAGTTACACTTTTTCATTCTTTTTTGCATTTAATTGAATAAAAATATTATTATTTGTATAAAATCTCTTTAATTTGGTTAATCAACTATTAAATCATGAAAATTTGAATGGAAAACTTCAAAAATTGTTATTATTCTCATTGAATTTGGAATATTTCAAGAGTGTGAAAATGCGATTATTAATAAATATATAATAAAATATTGTTATACATAAAATTATTTAAATTCTTTTCAAATTAGTCACAAGTACTAATTTAGATCAAAATTGTATGGATTTTTTTTTTTAAATAAAATCGCAATAATGTTAATTATTTTAAAATTAATAACAAAAAGAAGATAATACAATAAAAGAAACTTTAAACTATAATATTAAAATTTTAAATAAAAAAATATAAATATTGAATTTTTTTAGCTGATTAATTTTATTGTCATATTAAAGTAACCAAATTTTCTTAAGACATTTTTAATTTACACCTACCTTGCTGTTGTGGACAATGTTCCTGATGCATCCGTCAAAGCCTTTACCAACAGGCATGTGCTGCCAATTGTAGAGCGACTGTCCAATGGCTTCGGTAAACATGCCTCCGACTTGCAAAGGCGAGTTCACGTTCAGGTATTCGTTGAAGGGCGGCACAATTCCTCTGGCCTGGCAAGACGAGTCGTCAAACTCTGGTGGAAGACCGTCCTCCAGTTCGACGACCCCTGCGCTCTTGCAGAAGTCGACCACCAGGCGCACGTTTTCCGTGTCCCAGAAAACGTCCAGTCTGTGCCACTCGCCGTCGTCCAGTCCTTTGTTGGTTTTCACCTTGAGCTCCAGTGTGCCTGAGCCAAAGTCGATCAGCAGTCTTGGTTGGCCACGCTCCAGCTCCAGCGAAATAAAGTCTGGAAAAAAATGGAGAAAAAGATTAGAAAACAATTTTGTGCTTAAAGTTGTTAAGAATTTTAATACAAATGTTCATTTTTTGGAAGTTGATAACCCAAACTAACCCTTACCAGAAACAATAATTTCCTCAGGTTCTGGCTGAACGATAGGTCCGTTGTAGAGCAAAAGTCCATCTCCCTTTCGGGTGATGAACTCGAGGCTCAAATGGGAATTGTCGCACATCTCCAGAGGTGGGTACCAAGCCCACCCGTTTCCTCGGAAGCTGCGTGTTGTCTGTTGACACCTAGGTCCTGAATATCCACTTGGACAGTTGCATCTGGAGAAAATGAAAAAAAAAAATTAAAAACAACATTAATAAACTTTGTGGTAATATAATTATAAATTTTTTTATTTAAAAAATTGAATAATTTATATTCTTACGTGAATCCAAATCTGGTCTCTTGGCAGCGTCCGCCGTTGTGGCACGGGTTGTTGCGGCAAGATTCGCTCCTGGTGAAGTTTCGGGCACCGCAAGTGCACTCGGCCAAGACATCCACTCGCACGCCGACCAGGGAAGTCTTGTTGGCGTTTACTGTGTAGGGCAGGTTGCTGATCTCCAGGGCGTTTGTGCAGCTGCCTTCGCACACCTGGTTCTCGTAGAGGCACTCATCAATTCCAACCATCGTTATGTTGACTCCAACGTCCTTCTCAATCTGAGAAAAAAAAGGAAATTTAATAAAAAAATTTCATAAAAATATGTATTTTTTTAAATCATATTTAAAATCCTATTTTATTTTGTCATTAAAAATGAGAAAATAGACATTTGCTGAAAATTACCTCCTCTCTGTGCCTCAGCACAACGCCATTCAGCCTGACCGGCTTGTAATAAGGAGATCCATGCGCCGAGAAGCGAACGTCCGTCATCGGAGGGTACTTCCTGCGCAGTTGGACGCTGAACACATCAACATTATCACGCTCTGTCGCCAGCAACTCTGCCAGCTTGTCCCTTAGTTTATCAGCCTTGCTTCGCACTATAGTCTGCGACTGGTGAGAAAATAATTAGTTTTGTCTAAAGCAGAAGAAAATAAATGATCTTGTACTTGATAATTCCACACTCGGATGAAATCTTCGTCACTGATTCCAGCGATTCGTATGGACCCGGAGTTTATCACAGCTTCATGAGGTATTTCCCTGATGGTGACCGTTACATTGGCAGGTACGTCAGTCTGGGTGTGTTTGCGATCATAAACTTTGAACCGGAGATGGAATCTGGAAAAAAATATGAAAATGATTTTTATTGCCACATATTAAAAAAAAAAGGAAATTTAATAATAAAATCCAATTTGATTGTTATTATTCATTTACTTGTAGCACAAAATTAGTCATATAAAAATATTTTTAAGTTGAAGAAACGAAAAATTCTTGATTATTAATCAACGATTAAAAAAAAAAATCAATGCTTAATCTCAATCTAAAGCTTTTTCCATTTTACTCACTTTCCGTCTCTAGTGCCGTGTCGCATTGTGATCATGCCAGTGTCTTCGTTCAGTTTGAAATTACGGTGTTCTGGCCCATCCCAGTAGAACTTCTTGTCAGCCAAATCCCAGTCGTCCAAGTCGTAAACATACACTCGGCCAATCTCCGTGTCTGGAGCCTGTCCCTGAAATTTCAATTTTTTATTAGTTCACGATTTGAAAATTTTCGCCACAGTGTTGAACTTGCACGCAAACCACTTTCTGAGAACGTGTCGGCGGCTCACCACACGCACACAATCTCCAGAGTGGCCCATCTATCATGCGCGCGGTGGCGTAAATCACGCCTCGGGAGGCGCGGCGCTAATTGAAGGAAGGAGAGCAGCACTCACCATGTAATTGTACGCAAATATATCCTTGGATCCGGGCTGCATTTTATTGTCGTTGACGTCGCCTATCACTACGGTGAGGGTGCTTGTGCCGGTCATGGCGGGGTTGCCCGAGTCTTTGATCACAATTGGGATTAAGTACTCCTTTTGCTGCTCGCGGTCGAAGGAGCGCAGCGAGGAAATCACAGCCATGCCGTCACCATTGGCACCCTCTGCGAAAAAGAGGAGAGTAAAAAATGCAAATTGTAATATAATGCGTTTAACATTATTTATTTATATAACAAAACACTTCCAGGATATGATTGACTTATTTGAATCCAATTCAAATTTCCTCATGGTAAAAATAATCGCAACTATTATATTATTAATATTTTTTTTTTTTAATAAATTTCAATGTATTTATATGTATACAATTTATTGAAAATACCTCAACACAAACAGAGTAAAATTCTTCAATAATACTATTTTAATATGAACAATTTAAAATTAAAATATAAATTAATTTAAAAAACATAAATTAAAATGTTTTTTTAGTAATAAAATTAATTAATTTATATATTTTATAAAAATTTTACTATCCATTTTATTTACTATGGTTTCTTTCTCTTTATTTAAATGTTAAATAATTGGCTTTATAATTTATTACGTAGTATTTACAATCTTACTTGTTAAAAATATTTATACAGTCAAATATCATATTTCAGCGTTTTATACCTGTTATACTCATTAATTTTGTTTTGAATACAAAAGATGTTTACTCACTTTGGTCATGTTCGACTTTGAAAGAGGCGCGGATGACGTCGTCAGCATTGGGGTCCATGCGGAAGGTGAATGGAGGTCCGTTGCTCTTGGACCGATCGTCGTCGTCTGTGGCCAAGATTTCGATCACCTTGCGTGGCTGCGAGTGCTCCTGCAGCACTGGACGGTAGTCCTTCAGGAAGGTCGGTGCGTTGTCATTGATGTCCTGCACGATCACCGTCAGTGTTGCCGTCGCCGTTTTCGCCGGCATGCCGTCGTCAATGGCCAAGATTTTCACCTAAAAAGATCAATCGAATGATAATTTTTTTTGCACGAATAATTTTGCTCGATAGAATTCCCGCCTTCGTTCTTTGAAATAAATTGGATTTCCGTGTCTCAAAGCCACGTATTTACGACTTGCAGGTCTCTCTGCGTTTTAATGAAGCTTGTAAAGTCGGCGGGCGCACCATATAATGGGAGGAAAGCAAAAGCAATCAACTCGGAGGAAATTGTTTGTGCGCGCAAATAGACCTCTTTGCATGCATTAAGGTAACTTCAGGGATTTCCGAGTTTTTCTCCTCCTAAATTTTACTATCTCCATCGCGGCGAAGACAAAATATGGCTGCTATTATCATTAAAAAACTTCAAAACGAGCGCAGTCTCGCGAGATATGAAACGGCCGCATCAAAATTTGATGAGAATTACTTAGACAATGAAGACGCAAACAATAAATCTAGCTAATGTATTCCATCAAAATAAAATTGCGTAACAAAATGAAAATTTGCCTTATTTTAATTTAGCCAATGAAATTTCAAGGGAAAAAGCCTACCTGGTGCCGCGGCGTGTCCTCCCTGTCGAGGGTCCTTTGAATACTGACGGTGCCCTCGTTGTTGATGGTGAACTGACGTCGACGGTCCGAGCTGCGGTCGATGGCATAGGAAACTCTGCTCCTGCCTGCCTGGTCAGGGTCGCTGGCCTTGAAAGTCTCCAGGGATTTTCCGACCTCGGCGTTCTCGTACACGGACACCTCGATGTTGGGCCGCTCGAACTGTGGCTTGTTGTCGTTGATGTCGCGCAACTTGACCACCACCCACGAGTACGCAACGTGGTACTTGTCATTGTCGTTGTCCTCACCCTACAAGAAGCAATTTAACAACACATTTTATGCATATATGCATTAATTTGCAATTCATTTTAATTGAAGATTTTCCTCATCAAAAAACCCATCATTAAAATTTTTCCTTTCAGATAAATTATAAACGTTCTTTGGTTTACAATTTCACGTTATAATTAATTGAAAGGGATGGAAATATTATATTCTATTGCATTCAATTGCAGCGGGCATCAACCTTTCACCATTATGTTTGATCATAATTCTTGGCACACATTTTCAAAGGAAGTGCTTTCAAGTCTGGCGTCTTTTGCAATTAAAATCGCTGCTTGCGGAGAATGTGTGGAATGTACGCACCTTGTCATTAACCTGGATGCGGAACCTAAAGCCGTTGCTTTGAAGCTGATCTTCGTAGTCAAGCGGTTGGACGATCTTCAAAGAGCCGGTGCCGTCGTTGTTGCGCACCATCGTGAATTTGTCAGCTCCGTATCCGCTATTCTCGATCACCTGTCGGCCACAAACGAGGGCAAATCAGTACCTCAAAAAGAGTTTCTCTTTGATCACAAATTCGCCGGGTATAAAAGGTGCACCCAAAATCAACCGATTATTTTAAATTCTCCCTTTGCTTTTGTTACCACAGAGGCATTTTCAAATAATTTTTGGTTAAATTTCACGCAACTTGCAGGGTTCCTTTCCAATTAAAAAAAATTCCTTGGAAAGATCAAAGAAAAAGCGTTTGCCCCAGGAGCATATTTATTTTTTCTTGAAAGTGACTGAGCTTTTCCGAGAAACAACGGTTTGACTCGCGCTGAAGTGTCGTAAACGTTTTCACTCTTTACGACCGAAGACGGCGTGCTGGAAATTCAATAATGTAAAAAGGTTTGCCCCAGGTCTGCATAAAGCACTGCTGGGGTGGAAAAAGTGGATGGGACTGTCTGCCGCGATCACACATTTCGCATGGGAAATGCCGAATTCACCCCCGGATCCGCTCGAATACACCTCTCGACGAATTTGCATGAGTGGAGCGATTCTCTTCACTTGCGTGCGCGCTCAGGAATTTTCGATTTATTTTCTTGTCGGAAATGGAGTTTTCAATCACAAAAAGGAAATCAAGAAAAAGTTCAAGGTAAACAAAGTATCATGTTTTTATATACGGAAAAAAGTGTTTCACCTTCATCAGGTCTAGTTTTGAAGTTTTGAAATTGACTGAAATAAATTCATAATATATTTCAAACAAAAAAGATTGCTTAGAGCTGGCTTAGAGCTTTCGATAAAAATTTTTAATACTTCGGAAAACATTATTTTTAAACTAGATTAAAGCAAAAATCTTTGTTTTTCATCTGTTTTATAAATTTATAATCTGCTAAAATGCAATTCAGGTTTATAGTAATTTTCAAATCCACTTTAATGACTTGAATAAAGCAGGAGTTTGCAGAAGCATCTGCCGCCGCAGCAATAAATTTGCTTTTCACGCAGTTTCTCATGCTAGTCACTGCAGCAGCTGCTGCTCCTTTTTGTGTAATTCAATCTCGAGGCACGTGCGAAATTAAACATAAATTTCCAAAGTTTTACTACTATCTCGCGAAATAAAAAGGAAATAACTGGAACTAAAATCGTACCTTGTACTGGAATTTGTTGGTCTCGTCCTCGTCGTGGACGGTGACGGTGAGGATGGGCGTCTCAGGCAAATTGGATCCGTCCGTTTCGTCCACCTCGGTGAACCACTCGTCCTTGGTGAACTGCGGCGGCATGTCGTTGATGTCCTTAACGCGTATCGAGGCCGTGCCCGTGCCCTTCAACCCCCCACCGTCCATCGCGACCACTTGTATCGAGTAGTCCGGAGTCCTTTCTCTGTCCAAACAACACACGGCAGTCTTGATCACTCCCGTATCCGATTCGATCTCGAAGATCGGCGACCCGGTCTCCTCTTCAATCACGTTCTTCTCGATCGAGTATGTCAAGCGGGCGTTGGTGCCCTCGCTCGGGTCATCGTAGTCCACGGCCGTCATCGTCATGACCACCATACCTACGATAAAAAAAGTTTGCATTATAGAAATTTATCTTTTAATGAAAATTTTGTATTTAACTAGATTAAATCATTTTAATTTTTTGGAAGTTTATTTATCCATTTACTAACGTAAGGAAAATAAAATAACATAAACTGAAACTCTAGAAATTTAAAAAAAAAGAATGTTAGCATTTTTATGTTAATGCTTAAGAATAAAATATTATAACTATTATACATTTTTAAAATAAATTTAGAGTTAGATTTTAAAAGATATATTTTTTTACATACACTATTTAAATTATATTTTAAAATAATTGAGTTTTACATTGAAATAAATTGTTTTGTTTTACCTTCTTTTATCAGATAACTTAGCAATACTGAATAATTCATACCGTTCTCACACATGTCTATTCTAGTTGATTGTTATTTCATGGAGATTGCAAGTCAAAAGTATTGTTAACGTTATTTTTGTTCGAAGCATCAGGCCTCAGAAATTTGCATTTAACCAAAAAAATTCGACACACGCCCTTGTCTGCGGTTGATCGACTGAATAAAGTCCTTTTATGGCCTCATTTCGTACAGCAAAAAATTAACATAATATAATTGCAGCTCATGCATTATTCATTTAATTAAAAGGGGGTGTTTGTTTGCCCGTTGCTCTCTTGTCTCAAATGTAAACAACGTGCCGCGAGGGTGCACGAATTGTGTTAAATGCTAATTGAGCCGAAGGAAAAATTTGGAGAAATTACCTTCTCACGAACTGACCACTGGCGAAAAAAAAAGGAAAAGTTCCTATTGGCGGCTGCTTTTTATATAAAAATTCATGAACATGAGAGGGAAGGAGCTATGAAAAATATTTGACGCACATAATGAATTATTATTTAATATTGATATTTGTATACATTTTTTTTTTTGGAATTTTAAAATATTCTGCTTTTCAGTAATACAGGTGCTTAAAAGATAACGTAATAAAATAACATTTCAGTATTAAATTACAATCCTCAATAAAGGTATTTCCTTTATATTTAAAATTGAAAAATACCAGCGTATGTATATTTTTTTATTATTAAAAAAGTCTTTCCAGTCGCTAAACTAATGAAAATTCCTACTGCAGACGCAAAATAAAAATTACAAGTTTGAAACGGCCCGTTTTGAGTTATGCAACCTGCTCGTCACGTGAGTGTGGCTAAAAGCCTAGCCATTCTAAAGCAATGCAATTAATTAAAATTACTCCCTTTCTTGTGGCGAATATATTAAAGTGCGGTGCTCATTGTTTGTCAAATGCCCTTCCGTCCGCTCGCTAAGCCAATTTGCGATAACAGCATTTCTCTTAGCGCCACCGAGTGGCCCGAGCAGTGTCGCCCGGGCAGGAACAGGAAACGCGCGCTCGTCGACAAATATTGGCTCGTCGCTCTCCCAGGAGGTAATTATGTTGCCGTAAAAGAGACGCTCTAAAATTGGCCTTGCTCACATAACGCACTTCCCGCCAACTTCAAAGACTTAATTAATGGCAGCAATTAAATTTAAATTAGCACCATTTGCTTGTAACAAGACACAAATTTGATAGAAAAGAATATTCTTAAACTTTTAACAATGTTTGCACGTCACTCCTGCACGACGAAGGAATTAAAAACTTTGGCTATTAATTTGAAGAGAAAGCATTTCTCAAAATCCCATCAGATGTTTTGGGAAATCTTTTCCAACTCTTTTGGCTCTACGAATTCCATTATCATGCTAAAGAGATGGAAACTTTTCTGAGAGAAAATGGGCGTGAGATGAATGGTGACAATTTCATGCCAGGATTATTCAGACAAGAAGAAGTCACTGAGAAAATGGGAAAAATGAAAAAAAATATACAATTGAGATTTATTGCATTTATTTTAGAGCATTTTGGTTCGGTTAATATTTCCTGCTTTCCCGAGGATAGCATTGATTTAGATAAATTTTACTATCATTAAAATAGAGATGTAGATAAAAAAATGTGCAGTGCGCGTTTCTCATTCTTTAGTGAAAGATCTAATTTAATTGAGATGAAAAATGGTATTTTCATATATTAAGGCTAAAAAAGCCTAGTCTTGATGTTCATTACTAATTAATGTGTGAATCGGTGTGAATTATGTTTGTGATAGGAGGTAGTATAAATATTATTTACCATTAGATTTACATAGTTTTTATCTTTCATATTTGAACATTAAAATTTTAAGAGATAAAGATAATTTAAATATAATAAAAAAAATTAAAAAATCTAATAAAATTAATCATTATTTCTAGAAGTAAATAACAACTATTAACCAATATTTTAAACAAGAATATAATTAAATTTATATATAATTTTCTTTATTAAGTAAAAATTGTACTCACCAGCAGTGCCGTTCTCGGTGACGTTGCCAAAGTAGACGCCCTGCGGGAAGAGGGGTGCGTTGTCGTTGATGTCCTTGAGGTTGACCTGGACGTCCGCGTAGCCGACCAGACCCTCACCACCCTCGTCCTGAGCGAACACGGTGAAGCGCCACTGCGGCCGGCCGCCTGGCTGGTCGCGGTCCAGCGGCTGCGAACAAAAGCGGGCGAGAACGTGAGAAATTTAGAAAGAAAAAGTTTCTTCGCAGCAGCTGTTTACTATGCAAGCGGCGTGAAATTGGATGCGAATTCGCTGCCGCCGGCGGTGCGTGCGACAAGGGTGGTGTTTCGCTCACCTTGAGGCGCCCAAGTAATTGCAAAGTGCCCGTCTGGCACCATTGTTGCCGCTCGCAATCGGCTTAATTGAGACGCTACATTCGGGGGAGAAAATCGAGCGAAAATATGGACGTCGTTTAATTTCACGGTTCAAACTTTAAACTGCAGTTCTAAAGTTTTTATGGTTTTCGTTCCCTTTGTGCATGTTCAAAGTCTTTTAGTAATGATTGTATTAACTTGAAAATAACGTACAAAAGCAAATTAAAATAATGTTATGACATGAAAATTTTAATAAAAAGAAAGGAGCGTTGTTTAATAATGATTTTGGAAAATTTTTATGAATATTTTTTTTCAACTATCCTCAAGGATTCTTTTTTTAACATAGTCAAATCAGGTTTATATAACAATGGTGGTGGAATTTATCAATTTTTCCTCCAACAATTGTCAAGATTTGCTATCATTGTTGAAAAAAGACCTAATTGAACTATGTTAACTCATACAGAAACAAGATGGCAATGAATTAAAATAAAAAAACCTTCTTGCGCTTAAATTATAAAATTTTTTAAAGGAAATTTCAATTTTTGTTAAATTATTGTATTTTTCTCTCGTTTTGAAAAGAATAAAGATTTCGGGTTTGTATTTTAATTATAAAAGACAATGATTTTTTAAAAGTTACGTTAATCTACGTAATCAATTAAAAATTCTCAACATAATAATTATTTGTAGTGGATTTTTTTGCGAGTTCTTTGGGCCTAAAAAATACCATTTTTTGTGCAGAGCGAACAAATCTGCTAATTTTCCACACAAATTTCTGGCCGCGCTCCAAATCACGCTGAGAGCTTTCCGCGGCCAGCTCTCTGCTTTGATTTTCGAGCGGGCCTAGCCGATTTATGGGTGGAAAATGCAGCTGCTGCTCGGACCAGCCGTAAATCGCGCTCGTCTGGAAAAGAGCTCCGAGCTGCTTCTCTGCTCCGTTAACAATAACGAGCACGACGACAAACCACAGCAAAAAAGGAAAGTCAGGAGAAAGAAAGTATACTCCTTGTTTAAAACTGCGTAAAAATGCAAATTGTGCGGATAAATTATGTTTGTGCGGCATGCCTGGTCCTTTTTTTTGCAGAAATATGCCAACGGATGAGAAATATTGGACGTTTGCGATTGGCGCAATTTATTGCCTGGAGCGGCGGCGGCGGCAAGCAAATGACGCTGCCTTCCGACTGTGCAAATAACGCGAAATAATGACAAAAAATAACCGTAAGCAGCCAGCCAGCGATTTATTTGAGGCGCTTGCCAGAGTTATGTGTTCCCTCACGACCGGGACTTCTTGCAATTTAGCTCGGAATCAAATTAACCCGCGGAACTGCAAGTCGATTCGGCCTCGCCGCGACAAAAAGCCTGATTTATTGCCTTGTGAACGACCTACATGAAAATGGACCAGGCGGAAAACTGCTTACTTTTGCAAAAATAAAAAAATAAAATGTCAAATAAATAATAGTATAGAGAGAGTAATAATATTTATTTCCTTCCTAGGGAAGAATTTTTTAAAATAATGTAATTTGCTTATTTTAATTTTTTGACTTGCTTCTTGATTTGTGAAGATTAAATAGCAACAATAGTAATAAAATTATTATTTAAGTACTTGAAGCCCACCACTCATTGTCATTTACTGTAAAATATTTTTACAAATGAACAAAGGTAAGTCGACGATAATTAGTTTCGATTTAATAATTAGCTGCAAAATAATTATTAAGGTAAGAATTTTTATCTTGAACCTTAAAAGGTAAAATACTTCAAAGTGTAAGAGCAGTATAATTATGTTCAAAATTTATAAAAAGGCTGGGTTTGAAAAATTAATAATTTTATTTTAAAAATTAATCTTATAATGCGTGAAAATGTATTATAAAAATTTATAAAATCATTTAATACTGTGTTTAAGTTAAGATATTAGTTATGAGTTATGACATTATTAACCAATCATGATTGAAGCACAACTACAGCAAAACATTGAATAAAAATATTTCCTTTCATCAACATTGCATTTTTAAATTATGGAAATAAAGTAAAGCCAACTTATTTTCTCTAAGGGTTTGCAATGAAACGCAAAAATATTAATAGACATGAAACTACATAATGTGTAGGCTAATTGGAAAAACGTCACCGAGCATGCCCCTCAATAGGAAATTCTCTGAATGCAAATTAATTCATGCAATACTCATTTTTCAGAAGGCACTTGCTTGCGAATGATTGCATCGATCTTTATACTGAAAAGTTGCACATGAATTTTTACGTGTATGAACTGTACGAATGTGTTTTTTTTTAACACTGGCAAAAAACACGTTCGATGTGAAGTTTTTACGAGGAAAAATGTGCGGTATTGCTGTTTAGGAATAAAATCAATGCTGCAATAATTTTTGGGGAAAAAGGACAAAAATTTCTCGTGCGCGTGGAGGAAAGTTGGCACTGTTCGTTGGTTAATGGAGCGAAAAGTTTGCAAATTTTAAAAAAGTAGTCCATCGAGGAAATTATTAACAGGGATTGCGAGCGTGCGGCGAATCACAATTTCGGCAAAAGTTTTTCAATAGAGAAGCACGAGTTTTACAAAAGAGGGCTTATCTCGCCCTTCCGACTCAATGGAGGGAGGTTCGCGCTACTCGTTTCAAGGCGAATTGAAGTTTTGGCCTGTGTTAGTTTCGCCCACGCAAAGATTTATACAGTCAAACCTTCACTCTTTCTGAGCTGTTCAAGTCCATTAATGTGATTAGCAAAGAGTTTAAATTTTGGATGAGAGGGAAAGGAGCAACATAAAAGCAACTTCCTTGTTCATATTCAAATATGTATTTATTTAAATGTTGATTTGAATTTAAAATTGGCTTTTCCTCCATGGATTTTGTATGCTGTTTAAGAAAAAACTCAATATCATGCTCTGCATGTAACTGAAATCATTTTGATAAGAATTAGTACAAAAATCATTCTTTAAAAAAATATTATTCTTTAATTATATTTATTTATTTATTTTGAACAATTGTTTGTAGTTTACATTTTTACACGAAAAAGCAGCCGACAGATGCAGAGCAGGATAATTGTTTTTTCCTAAACAAAAAACAGCTAACAAAACCCAACTAGGAAAAGCCTTAAATTCAAATCACCATGAATCAACACCAAAATTTTCTTAAATATTTTTAAAGTTAAAAACTTACTAAAATATAATTCTTTTAAAATGACACATTTGTATGCGATTTTGACAAGTGCTTAGTTAGAGCTCTGCATTGCCACAAGTGTCCCGCATTTACACCCGGGTGGGCCTGTTTTTTAATTAAACCGCCACCGCGCCATTTCCTTTTTTATCGCGCGGTGGTCGTAAAGTGTTTGTTTATTTTTTTTTCATATGAAACGGGCTGCAAAGAGAGATGACAGCGCCAGAGAGCTGCCTACAAATTTAATTATTTGAGCACCGCCGAAAGTTTTGCCAGCCAGAAAAAGAACATGCGCACTTGAGTAGGCGGAATTTGCAACATCCTCTTTTTACTTCGACGACAGAGTGTAATTGGAATGGGCGAGGAACACCGCCATTGCCGCGAGCCCAGAGAAAAGAGGAATGTTGCTGAAATGCCGAACACTTTGCTCAATTATGGATCGTAAAAGGCAGCGGATCGGCGTTGGCGTTCAAACAAACCAAAATGCAAAAATGCTTGTAATGCCACAAAGGCGATTTTGATGATTGAAGTTTTTTTTCGTGAATTATTTGATGATTAAATTGCAAGAATAACAATTATTTCAGGAGGAAAAGGACCTCTGATCAAAATTACAGTTTACCAAAACTTACGCCTTTTTCAATAGATTGAGTAAATTTTTCTCTACCAATTCAAAACCACATTCGTACAAGAAAGAAAAAATTGAAAAGCGGCAGTTCCTCAATGATTTTTTAGACTCGTCATTTTAATTATGAATTATTCTATTCTTCTCAGACGATACAAAAATAATTTGAAATTTGAACAAGAGGAAGATAGGATTTTGTTCATAAGAAAAAAAAAAACATTTCGTAATTGGGCTGCAGCGATTTTTAATAGAAAATCTTAAATTTTAATTTTGCTTGAGTCGAATTAACAAATTGTTAAAAAAATTTCCTATCAACAAGAGAACACAAAAAAAACCCATAAAGAAACTGCCATTTTTCAATAATTGAAAGCAACGTGAAAAAATATGGTGAGTAAATTCTGCTTCAAAATAACTTTTTTACTTTGAACTTTTTAATTTCCTAAATGGAACGGAAATTCTTGATTCTCTCAGAGAGAAACTTGGAGCGAGGGTTTTGTGCGTTGGAGGTCAAGCGGATGTTGTTAAGAGGCGCATCTTGCAGCGTTAATGGGCCGCGCTCGGAGCTCTACGTGTGCCTGTGGCAGAATTTTTTATTGTTGCTGCTTCTCTAGCCAGTTCCATCTCTAACAAATACGCCGCCCGCACAAAGGCCCATTAATCGCGAGCCAAAGAGAGAAGGCTTTTGCTCCCCGTTTCTCCGCCCCTCGGCTTTCTCTCCTTGCGAGAGAGTTTAATTACGCTCCGACGCTGAATTATTATTATTATTATTCCGGGCCGGCTCTCGTTGGAGCCAAAAGCAGGCGTTATTTTGGCGACTGCCTTGTTTGCCTTCCATTACGCACGAGAAGTGGAGTGCGGTCAGGCCTGCGGAGAGCGCAACTAGAACATGCTCGATGCAAATCGGGGCCAAAGAGGGATTACTTCTTGATTGGGGCATTACCGGGCGCTGATTGCGAGTTTGCAAAGTGCTATATTTCGTGATGCTTGCCTGTTGATTAAAGCCGGCGATGAAACGAATCACGTCGACCGATGGCCAAACGAATGCACGACCGCGGAAGCCGCAGGCGCCGAAATTAATTTCAGTTATGCTATTTGCAAATGAACTAATATTGAACTTTCAGCTCTCCCATCTGATTGATGGGGAAAGTTTGCTGGCTTTCAAACTTTACCGAGTGCCTCAAATTAAAAAAGAATTAAACTTGCATCGCAGTGTATTAATGAAATATAAAAAAAATCAACCATTAAAACAGATTCATTAGATTTTACATTAATTGAATTCCAGTTTAAAATTTAAGATAACGTGAAAAAATAAAGACAAAAAGTTAAAAAAATTGTTTGGTTTTTTGTTTACATAAATTTTGATTAAATTAAAAAACATCACAAAATATTTTTGAACGTGCACTACGTATGCCCAGGCAAAGGTCCAACTTTTATTTCAAACTTTCCGGCCCACCCCTCTTGTTTTTCACATATAATTCCAGGTGGACCCTTGTCAAATTTCCCGCAACTTTTTCCTGTGGACCGTTTTGAACCAACTCCAACGCCATTTAAAAAAGTGGCTCCCAGCGGATGTTTTCGGCAAACGAAGTAGCGTGGGGCGAAAATTAGCGGCGTGTCGGCGGAGGACAATATTGACAGTGGGCGCGCGGCTGGGCTGCGGTGCGTCCAGGGCTCGGCTTTGTTGCAGCGCCGGCCGAGCGCACTGACGCGATTTTCCATACTGGCGAGAGACAATGCCGATGTAACCACGGGGCATAATCCACTTTTCAATTACAGAATGCACTCGTGTGCAATTCAGTTCATATATACATAATCATGGCGAGATTGCTTTGAACTCTGCCGCCTTGGAGAGGACACTGTTGCGTACTTGCATCATTAAAATGCAGCACTCGCAATCAGACTAATCAAATTCGAACGAGGGAGAAATAATGAGCAATTGAATTACCCTATGAATCTACTTTAAATTTGTACTTTTTGATTCTGGTATATAAACAAATTGGATTTATTTATTTAATTTCTACAAATTCATTTTTTTTAACTTGTAGTGGCAACAAAAATGCATCAATTAACTTTAGTTTCTTATTATTTACACAAAATTTTAGCCAAAAATTGTAAATTATAATTTTGTTACCGTTTTTTTTTTTTTAATCTTTAAATAAAGGTAAATATTGTTACTTTCGTCACAAATTTTGTAGCCTCCGTAAAAAAGTTATTTTAAAGCATAGACTGAGAACTGAGAATACAAAAATATCGGGCTTTGAAGAAGCAACTTCCACTTAATTAATAGCGAGGAGGAGGAACTTGATGAAAAGGTTAATTAAAGAGGCAAGTCAGAATTTATGGCAGTCATTAAGGGAGGCGAGCGCGTTTGAGGAGAAAAGGAAAACCCTCGGTAAATAATAAACTTTTTTCTTTCGCTTCTTTTTCTCACGGACGTTTTGTTTCTTCTGGCGCGAGCGAGCACATAATTAACTGCAGACAGCAGAAATTTTTATTATTAACTAAGCGAGCGCGACGTTTGCTCTTGGCGAATTTTTCTCCTTGAATGTTTGAAGACGTGCAAAAAATCGCCCCTTCTAGAGTTGGCCTTTTAGAAAGAAGAACAACCCGTCTCAATGTCAGCAGTGCGCCTGTTTTTTCCGCACATAAATAAGTGAAAGCAGCAAAGAGGAAGGCACCCGAAAAAAAAGGGGAGAGAATAAAAAAAATCCCACTCCATATACGAAGGCTTTGCGAAATTTTTCCTACCTTGAGCACGAATATTTCGCCTGTCGTCCTGTTGATATCGAATTTGCTGTTGGCCGGGTTGTCCGGGTCGATACCTTGGCCAGTGAGGAAGTAGACGATCTGCTGCGGTCTGTCCTTGTCACCGTCAGTGGCAGTTACCTAATTTGAGTGGTGCAAAATTTTCGGAATTAGTAAATTTGCGAGCTTGCTTTAAAGTTCAGGAAGAGAAAAATCGTCTATTTAAATAAAAATTACCATCCATTATTTTAAATTTTAAGAAATTCAATCAAATTTTAAGCAAGGTTTTTGACGATTTTTCTCTAAAGTATTTGTTTGAAAATTTAGTTAAATTTGCACCAATTTTTAAACAAAAAATGAAACAATAAAAATGAACAGATTTGAATAAATAATTAATTAAGATAAATTCTAACTGGATTTTAACTATTTAATAGTGAGGTGAATTAATTTAACTGTCTATAGGTACTTGTCAAACCTGAGGTTAATTTAAAATTCAAATTCAAATAGCGTTGCATGTGCTTGCTGACATGTGCGCAGCAGCAAATAATTAGATTTCGACAAACTCATCTACACGTGTGGTGCATCTCTATGCGGTTATTTGCGGTGCATTTGAATAATCAATGAATCTGGTTGAGGGCAATTGCATGCAAAATGAATCGAAAGCAAAACTGATGAGGAAAAAATCAGATCAATAACGATCTTGCGGTAAGGCCAATTTTACCAGGGAGGGCGTCGAGGGGCAGCCGAATTAATCTTCCGATCAAGTGCAAGTTCTCCCGGGCTAAAATTTTCCCGACGGCTTGGGTGGAGCCAAAAACAAAGTTTGGGAAAAACGGCAACTTTCCTCTCGTGTATGTCGCTTCAAAGAGACTTGCTTGGTAAAGTTTTGGACGTTTTAGAAAGGATCTCTTGTTTTTGATGTGTTGAAAATTTCGTGCGATTTTTTACTGCGAGTCGTTTCAAAAGGGGTTCTAGATTAATGTTGCCAACTTTTCACGTGGATTTGTTTACTTCGTCAGATTTTGCTTTCGTTGAATGGGATTAGAAGAAAGACTTTGCGACTCAAAGGAAAAAGAGCGAACGGGACAAAAATCTGAATTATTCATGAATAAGAAAAGGAAAGTAACAGTTTTTTTTTGTGAATCTGAATTTGTATAGTTCAAAAAGGGTAGGTTCTTGAAAGTTATAAGAGCATTTTATAGAAATGCTCTTCCTTGTTTAAAGAAAGACTAAAGAAAAAAAAAATACAATTTATTTTTATGTCGTCTTTCAAAGTGTCTAACTTTGAAGATTTGATTGTTTTTCAGAAATGTTTCGTTCCACTGTTATTGGCTACCTTACAAATCTGGCGTCAAAAGGAATGTAAAAATTACCAAAATCTTAAAATTCTTGCCGGATTAAAAAAGTATAAAATTGAGCTTTTTTAAAAAAAACATCAGAAATTACATGTTAATTATTTCTAATTTAATAATCTACAAATAGGAAAATAACCAATTTACTTTTTTATAATTGACTTTAATTGTTTTTATTGCAAAATCTTACTCTAAATGAATTTTTAAAGTCAATTAATTAAATACTATTATTCAAGGATTCAGAATTATGACTGAATTTTTAAAATTTAGGTAGTTTTTGAATAGAAGAGGTTTAGCGTGAGGAAAAAAAATCACCTGGAGCAGGTTTATAGGAAAGGGGCCTTGCGACTCCTCCTCGAGGGTTGCCTCGTACATGGGATGATTGAATACAGGGGGTAGGTCATTCTTGTCGTTAACATGGATAACCACAACAGTTTCGTTCTCGTTACGACCATCTCCGGCAACGAGACGCAACTCATACTGCTCATGCAGGCAAAAGGAACAAAAGAAACAAAAAAATCAAATCAACAAATTAATGAGATCAAAATTTCATGCACAAACAAATCAATTCAAAGGGTTAAATCATAATAAGAAATCGCAAAACTTCGTGCTGGAAACTGAAAAAGTGAGGAAATTATATATAAATAAAAAACAATCAGTAGGCAAAATTTAAGAAAAAAATCGACAGCGGCTTGGTCAGCACCTGCAGCACGCGCTTGGGCAGATTCCGGTCGTCCTCCTCAGTGATCTGCGTGCGGTAGGTCGGCCGTTCAAAGACAGGCGGGTTGTCGTTGACGTCCTTTACATGAATCACCACGGTAGTGTGGTTTTCCTTCAAGTTGTCCGACGCGGTCAGGCGCAACTCGTACTGCACGGGAATATTTTTTTCACGTTAAAAAAGTATTTTTTTTCCAACGTCAAAAACATGCGAAAATCCTTGAAAAGCTGAAAGGAAATTTGTTAAATATTCAACACGGCCGAAAGCTGATTCTTGCTTTCCCGAGACGAGAGAGGAATGGAGCGCGGATAGGATTTCCTGGCACTGTTGTTTGGGAGTTGTTTCGCCGAGGAAATTAGTAGTTGTAATGAAGACTTAAGAAGCAGTCAGGTGCCCGGCTAAACAAGTAAATTACAAACTTGCTAAGCGCATTACGACTCGGGCCACTCTTCGGACGGGAAATCCTCCGAGAATGTAACAAGAGCATCTGTGCACTTTCAAAGAAGTCAAAGAGAAATCCTGCCTGCGAGTGCAGCGAATAATGCACTTTTGCGGTTGAACGCAAAAAGCCGCGACAGAGTAATTGGAAAAAGCTTTCGAGTTTCGTTTTCAATCGTTCGGATATTCGATCTTCTGCGGTTGAAGTTGTAGAATACTTTTCCACTCCGAACTTTTATTTTTATCTAGGAACGAGAAATGGATTTCTCTAAACCAATATAAAAAAGCGACTGTTGCTGTCATTACATGCCTGTTGGCGGGGTGGAAAAAAGGGCATGCGAGGCCGTCTGGTGGTGTCATGCGCGCGAAACCAGATCATTATCGTCGAGCTTTGCGTCCATTAAGCGACCATCGACCAGCAGTACTTTGTGAGCTTTAGTTATTTCCACGCCACAAAAGCCAAATAGATCGTTGGCTGAAAATTGGAAAAAAATCGGATGATTCTCTACAATGTGCAAGGGCGATATGTGCAAATGTTGCAAAGTCCATTTAGGGATTGACAGACTAGACCCGGCGAATCCAGGTTTGAAAAGTACTAATTTTTTAACATTAAATTTTGAGAATGTATAATTTCAGAATCTGGATACATTCTTGCCAAGAGGGTTGTAATCTTCCTTGGTCTAATTTTTTTCGTCATCATGTCATTGGTCTCGGCGGTTTTGTTTTTTGGCGTGGCTGGTGGTTTTGCAGGACAGAAGTGGTGGGTCCTTCTTCTGCCCTATGAACTATTCTTTCTAATTATTTTATTCGGAATTGGAACCATTCACGTACGTAGACAATTATTATTATTATTTTTTTTTTAAATTCTGCTTGAAATAATAAAATAAAGTTATAAATTATTTATGTAGATCATCCAAAAATCTGGCGTGCCTTGCCCAATGAGAGTGCGTGGAATTGTGATTTATGGTGGACAAGTTAATCCCGAACAGTGGGCAGTAAGTGAATTATTTAAAAATGTTTGAATTCATTATTTTTTTTATTTTTAGACAGTACAACCGCCAGTGGTGCAAAAAGAAACCAGAGACGCTCAGACACAAAATGAAACTTTAGAAAAAACAGCGGCCAAAACAAATAAGGGAGGCTCAAAAGCGTAAACTTATTATGTAATTTTTTCGAGCTGCAAATATAACTATTTGGATGAATTTGCTCCTATCAATTCTGTGATTGATTGATTACCATTCCCAATATCAGCACGTTTTGACCTTTTGACGCCGAGGAATATAAATTTATAGGAAATCTCCTCGCGTGAAAAATGAAAGCAGGCCTCCTAGATAACTTGTGGCCGCGCCGAGGCGAAAAATTCAATAAAGTGTCTACGCCGTGGGGAAAAAAGAAAACCACTCCGCGAATATATTTTAATCAATCACGCGCCCCCGGGATAAAAGCGGCGGCTGACGTACGGAATATAAGCGAATTTCCATCTCGCGTGAGAGAGAAAAAAAATGTGCTGTTTTCCATCTGTCTCGCTGTCCTGACAAATTGTGCGTCGGGTCCTTAGGGAGCTGAGAAATGATTAGTCCGTCCGGCGAGAAATGCACTCTTCTGCGTAATGACCGAACAATGGGCACTCGCAGGAAAAAATGGTAATTAAACAAGTTGCTCAGAGTGCGGCCTGCTGGAAAAATAATGAGCAAATGGTTGACTCGGCGTTGCAAGTTGAAAGAAACTTGGCTAACTAAACAGCAACGCCCTGGGTATTTTTCTGCATCTTTTTTGAAGCTCATTTTTTTGCGCCAAGAATAATAAACAAGCAAGAGCTACTTCTGAAACCATCTCTCTCCGCATGTTTTTCTCTTCCACGAAAGGCTCATCTGCGAGAGTGAACTTTTTGTGAAGATTTGCTAAATAAAATACAAATATTTGAGCTCAATTGCTTCGCGGAAGATGAAAAAATCTCGTGGGCGATTTGTTAAAGTTTAAAAACTTTTAAAGTTTTCAGAGCAGTTGCGGTGAAAAATAAATAATTTGGAGATTAAAACAAATAAAAACTGTGTATTTCCTGTTTTACTGAATTGAAAATTTATTCTTCAAGTGAACCTTTTAAATTAAAATAATCAGAATAGAGAATTTTGAATAATATGAATTATTGGAATTATTGAACAATTTTCTAAATCTAAAATTGGTGGAAGATAAAGTGATTTTTTCCTCCAATATGTTTGAGCTTGAACGAGACCCATTAGTTCAATATACCGCATTTGTGTTTGCACGGCAAAACCTCACTCAGCTCCGCCTACAAAGGCACAAAACGCGCGATGAATATTCAGCAGCCGAATTTCGCAGGTGCGCCCGCGGCGACGGTTATTGGCAGGCGACGCTGCTCATCTTCATCAGGTCTTGGCAAGAGCTCATTAAATAGACACCACCGTCACTCTCTCAAGATTATCGATTATCGGCTGTCGAATTCTCGAGTTTATCTCCCGCAGCGCCATTTTTTTGCCCTCCTGTTGTCACCTCCGATAACGTGTTAAATTAATAAACAGTCGGTTTTGCACGGTACGATGGCTTTAAAAATTCAGGAAAGCTCCTGTTCAAGAACTCGGTCACGTTTAGGCCCGCGGGAACAAAAGTAGCTCGGAGAGAAAAAGAGATCACTTTCGTCCGGGCCGCAGCCGCGCGCGTGAGGCGATATGGGATTTTATTCGGAGCGAGTTTAAGCAAGACGGATGTCGAGCGCGCAGACACTTGCGTTTTCGACAACCAAACCGGCTGGAGAGAAGCTCAAGTGGTGGAAAAAGTGACTGGATTTTCTACTACACTTGAATTTGTCACAGTCCGGCTGACAAAAAAGCGAGCGGACAGTAGTGTTGTCCCTCTTGGCTGATGTTCCGCCGAGGAATAAATCAGCCCTCAAGCGGAGTGAGCAGTGATGCGCGAGTTTTCCGTGCATGCCGCCCCGGAAAACGGTGTCGAACGAGCCGAGAGAAAAGAGCGTGCTGTGGGATAAGCGGCTGATCAAAAATCAGTGACGCGGAAAGCAAGTATAGAAGATGCTTGAAAAAAAAATCAAACTTGTCTCAGATCGATATGAATAAAAACAGTTGAAGCCTAATGAAATTTTTTTTCAGCAGCGTGAAAGGCAGCTCTGTGGACTAAAAATTATTTCCTTAAAATTATTGTTCATTAATATTATTATTTTGATATTTTTTATATTATTTCATTATTTTAAGTTAGTACCAAAAATTCCTGTAAGTGAACTTTGCACTTGAAAATTCCCAATTATAATGAATTAAGTATATATAAAATTAAAAACTATCGCATAAAAAAAATTTTATTTCACTGATTTTGCTGGAAATATAGCAAGATTCATTGGGTTTCAACATTTTTTTTTTTATAAAATCTGTTTATTATTATCGATCTGCTGAGCTATATTATGTTTTTTTCACGCTAGTAATAACTTAGCATGTGAATATCTCCAATATTTTTAACAAGCGCTTAATTGAGCTTCCTTATATTGTTAGTCTCGAGAGCCACAACTGATAGAAAAAGTTTTCGTCATTTTAAAAAATACTAAAAAAAAACTCCGGCACAAAATGTAGGTTAATTGAGAATCTTCCTTGTTTCTCGACTTCTTCTCAACTAACAACTTTTACAGTTAATGCAAGTGTCAGCTGATAATGCCAATAATTTATCTCGAAACAAACTTTAAATTGCCCTGTACTGCCAATTCCGCTAATTGTGCAAAATGGAAACTCGCGGGAAGGTCGCTGCTGTGCAATCGATTAGCCGCTCCAATGGGCGCGAAAATTGCTGAAACGGGGATTTTTGTTCCGCAGGTATGCGTTTATACACATTTTTTAGGGTTCAAAGTGTAAACGTCATAACAATGGCGCAAGATTAGAAGGCGTGCATTTGTGACGGGCGAGTTGGCCCGCAAAAAATTCGCTGTCATTTCCACAGCGAAATAGAATCGCGTTATTTTTAATCAGTCGGAGCAAGGGTAATCAGCTTTCGGCCGACGGAGCATAAAAATTTCAAAGGGAGGAAAAAAGTAGGAAGGACTGTCTGCTCTCCAACTCAATTTGCCGACCGGGATTTGTTGGACAGCGTCTTCGTCCTGGAAGAGAAAAGACGGCAAAAAGATACTGTTGGAAATAGGGTTAAAATCTACGGAGGCTCTGTCTGCAGAAGAAGGAAAGATCACCTGCTGGAATAAAGAGAGAGAGAGAAAAAAAGACAATTCTTTCGGCGATTGGAAACTTTCTCTTTCTGTCTCGGAATAAATTGGCAAAGGTATCAAGAAGGCGACAGGAGCTTTATTTAAATGCAGTTCATCGACGTGCGCGATTCCTGATGCCAGATTTCGTTTTTGTAAGTGAATAAAAAAGAAAAAAAGGAATGTCTTGAATTAATAATTTTCCTTTTTTGAAGTAAAAGTAAACAATTGATAAAGACATTTTACAACTAAATTATTTTTTGCATCTTGAAATGTAATGAAAATTAAATTTTTTTTTTAAGTTCAATGAAAAAACTTTATGAATTAATCAATTTATTCCTAGGAAAGAAAAGTTTCCGCTCCACCTAGGGCATCTATGAGAGAAAGTGGAAAAAACTAGAGAAAGTTAATTTTTGTTTAATATGACCTTTTTGTGCTTAATAAAATTTAATAAACAAGAAAATGCTTTTGGGCTTTTGCTCGCTTGCATTCATTTTTCCACTTTGCCTCGGCGGGCCCTTCAAGAAACCGTTAAGACGACGAACGTATTACGGCGCACGTCGTCGGCAGTAATAAATTTTTGCTCGGTACTCACCCTCTTCCTGGTCTCGTAGTCGAGCGCACCTGCGACGTAGATGGCACCTGTCATGTTCTTCACCGCGAAAGCGCCGCCTATGTTACCGCTGGTGATCTCGTAGCGAATTCTCGACGCTGCGAACAAGAGAGAAAGAGACATTTTGTAGAAAGTGCCGTCATAATTCCAGAAATTTCGCCCTCGGCAGTCTCTGCCTGCGCCGCGATAAATATTCATTTGGGGCGCTTTTCGAGAGAGGGACTTTTTCTCGTGCGTCGGCAAATGCATAATATAAAAATTTCCGGCACGCATAAAATGGAACTGCCGATACGTGCCCGCTGCCGATTGTTTTGCCTTTTATAACTGCCCCTCGAAGCATTCGGAGAAAAGCTATATTCGCCTCTAATGGTCGGCGTCATTGTTTCCAACGAGCTTTTCCGGTTAATAAGAGCGTTTCATTTCGCGATGCAGTTGCCATTATTGTAGAACAATGCAGGCGCAGGCAGGGATTTCAGATGCAGATGATATTATTCGCCTGGCAATTTGGGCTTGGCTGCTCGCCATCATCATGCAGCATTGTGTTTTGAAAGGGGCTAATGTGGGTATTCAGGCAGGGGACGTCTCTCGATCGGAAATTGGATACGGCCCGTTTTCATCCCTTGACCGCGGGCAAAAATGGCCACGGTCTTCACGAGAAAATAATAAAAATTTATAGTAAAAAGAGCAAATAGGGTTGAGAGGAAAAGGTGTTTCAATTTTTAGTTATTAATTACTTAAACATATATTAAAATAATATTTTCAAGCATAAAAATTTAGCTTTATTCTATTTAAATAAATTTTAATTTATAATTACATTAATGCTATATTTTATTATTTAATTTATATTGTTTTTCCAATTCTCTGAAAATATATTATAAGCAATACAGACTTAAAATAATCTTTTTTAAATATAAATATTATTATATTTGCTTATTAAATGATTCATGCACTCTCTTAATACTTATTATTTCAACAGATAATCAGTATTACAGTTGGTATTTCTCATAATTATTATATTTCTAGCAATATCATTATTCTTTCTGATAGTAGATCAATTTTACTATAAATCACACTCATTTATCACCTACAATAGAATGCTGTGATGGAAATATGTTCAAATCTAATTGGCCCGCTGTCAAAACAACCACACATCCGAATGTGGCCACAGGTACATCATAAATTTCATGTACCTATGTAAAAAGGCAATCAGCGCATCGACAAACAAACGGGTTGGCTCTCGTCCATGGAATAACAGTTCCAATTAATCCGTGCATGAACACGCGTAAAATAAAACAACAACCTCAAGACTTTATATACGTCGAAGAAGCTCACACAAAAAGTTTAAGCTAGGTCGGAGATTTATCGTTTAATAACGAGAACGGCTCTAAATATAGAGGAGCTGCTGAGTCGTCGGATGAAATAAAGTGAGCGACTTTATCACCTCTCTGTGCAGTGAAATAAAAGTAGCTGTCTGGCGGTCGGTTATAAGACTCGGCTAGAAAAGATGCACTCGACTTTTATTATTATCAATTTTACTCGATCGGTCGGTCAACTGGTAGCAGCTTTTTACATCGAACTGACTCGGCGAAAAATCTGCCGCCGAGATGAAAAATGGTGTTTGAGCAAGGATAAGTTATACGTCCTTTTTGTTGCTCACGCCCGAGATTTGAGTAAACGGAGGGCAGAGCCAAAAGTTCCCCTCGGCCGATTAATAAATAATATTTCACACCGAGACTTGCCATTTTGGAAAACGATTCTGCCCCAATTTTTGCCGCTCAGATAAACTCATTTCGAACGCAAACAACTGGGAATTCGTTGGCGTGCTTCGGTCCACCGGGGGCGCTTTATTTGCCAGCGCGAGAGGACCAAAAAGCAAACTGATCGGCTCACGCATATGTTTTGTTTTTGCGGAACGTGACAGAGCGCCAAAAATGAGAAATGAGAGCAGTCAAGCGCATTTTGAGCTCTGGGATTTTTGTTCGCGACCAGAGAGAAGTGAAGGGCAAATTAATCAGATTGGAATGGAAATTCGATAGCAATATTGGTTTTGAAAGTATTGGAATTGAGGGAAATCAATTTTTGAAACACCAATAATACAGGATTTTCGGTTACTAATTGGATGCTTTAAAAGGCTTTGTTTGTGGAGTTTTATTTGAATGTCAATGGCAATGTGATTCTCAAGTGCTTCATATCATGAAAAGATCTTCAGCAAAAAAGTATTGTGTATTTTGTTGTTACAAAAAACAAGGAATATAATCCTAAACAAAGAAGATTAAAAAGATTCTTCAAAAATTGAGTGTTTCCCTGCTCATTAATTTCAAAAGTTCATTTTCCTGAATAAAAATAAACCTGAAGAAACGCCGGGCGTTTTCCTTGATTACATTTTTTATTCTCAAAGACCGAGCCAATTTAATTACTTTCATGAACATCTCTTCTAGTTCCAACTCCTTTGCTGAATTAAATAATAATAAATTCTTTTTTTATGAAAAAATATCGAGCTTCCCCTATGAAGATGAGCAACTTTATTGTGTCTGCATGATAAAGAAAATCCCTGCTCTACAATTTTGTCAGTTTTTGTTGAATTTGCTTGGAAATTTTATTCTTAAAATTGAATTAATTACAATATTTTACTTGTACTAAAAAATTAAGGAGAAAAATATTGTAATAACTTTTGTGAATATAATTTTAATTATGTACAAACCAAAATGTATTTAAACGCTAAAAGCTTTTCGAACAGAGAATAAACAAAGAGCTCTCTCAAATAAATTAATGTGCATTAAATCTGATTTTCACGAGAATGTCCCTCGAAAACGCAAATCGCGTGTAATGCGCTTCAAATTGCCGCACAACGAGGCCGTGACCGTTTCACAAACGACGCATTAAGGCACTTCATTAGCCGAGATTTGGCGTGCATAGCTATTAATTCAAATGAATGCCTGCATGGCTTTTAAATACACATTGAAGTGGCAAGCCCGAAATGGAGTCGTAAAAGCGGTGTTGTAGGATGCGTTTGGTGCAATAACAACGATAACGGCCAACAAAAAGCTCAAAGTCAGCCGGCGAGTTTTTGCTTGAGGTTCCGTAGCCGGTTGGAATTATGCGTTTTGGTGTTTTCGTGCAATATTTGGTCGGGTCGGATGCAAGCTAGGGACGGTCGTAAAAGACAGGGACTCCTTTTTGTCACTCCCCGAGGCGAAATGCGTGTCAAACCATTTCAGGACCAAATGTTGTGGCTGTCCCATCACTTTTTACCCCGGTCAATGGGGGCAAATAAATTCATTCGAGCTGATAAGACGCGAAAAAAACCGTAAAAAAGTTTTTCGATACTCATTTTGGTGAAAAAGCAATCAGTGTGTGTTCAGGAAAGGGAAATAATGACGTGAGGCTCAAGAGGGTTGAGAAAACTACGAGGAAAATACAAAACATTTTTAGTCCCAGGAAAAAATTTTAAGTTGCTATGGAAATGAGATGATGAAAAAATTCAAAAGTTGAAATTGTATTTGGAGGAAAAACGTTGCTCCTTCGTGATTTATTTCTGAACATTTTCATAAGTGCTTTAGGCGAGAAACGTTTCTTCTCACTTCTGTTTATTTTACATTCGCACCATAATGAGGTTTTGCCAATTTCTCCTCCCACTCAATTTCTTTGTGAGCCACCAAAAAAGGTTTGGCGCCGTCTCGTTTTCTTTATCTTGTGGATGGTTAAAAATCAATCAGGCTGTTTGGACGAGTGAGAGGTTCTGGGCGAGACGAGGGTGGAATTATTATTTTTGCCGGATTTCATAGATTGCGTTCTCATAAATTTCAAAAGCTTTCATCTGAGACCGCAAAAAGAAAACGATGATTTGTTTGGCTTTTTATTCTAGAGTGCAATGGAAGCCGCAAAGTGACGGTTGGGATTATTGCCGCCCCCTCCCGCGCGCCCGCGTTGCCATTTTTATTGTTTGTGTTTGCTCTGCACTTGAGAGATGGAAGGCTTTTGCGCCGTCAAGAAGCACAACTCGGAGCAAAAAATTAATCGAGAAATTTCTTCAGCAGACGAGAAAAACAGAAAACGTCATGAGTACCAACAACAGTTTGATGATTTTTTTAATATGCAAGATATTTACGAAGCTCTTTTGTTTGCAAAAACACCAATTGTTCCTTTTAAACGTTATTGCATTTATATTTATTATTTCTGTACCATTATTAAGGTTAATTATTAAATTTTCATTATTTTTTGCAACCAAAATTGAGTAATGGAATTGTTATATTTCAACTTTTATGAAGATTTTGATTTAAATTAAAAATTACTCTAATAATGAGAATTTTAGGATTATAGGAAAATAAAATTTAATGCTTGGTGTAAAATTTTAGTTTTTCTGCATTGCATTGGAAACTTTTGTCACTTAACAGAATGTCCCAGTTAATCAAAAATAATTGTGCATTTCTGTTCCAATTTTCGGCAATTTCGTTATCAATGAAGAGGTCAGGTAGGAGCAGGAAATATTTCTAGTTGTCGATTTCGCTTATTTTTACCACCGCAGAGAAATTTCACCTTCTCTCATGTCCGTCCATCCTCGTCTTGGAGCTTTTTATTTTTTTATATATTTTTTCTGCGGACCCGCACGCAGCATCCCTCCGTCGGTCATATTCATTTATCACAGAATTGGATCAGCAGAGCGACGGTCGTAAATTGAGGCCGGTCGGTCGGTCGATTGAATTGGCCCTGCACGGATTTTTCGGGGAGGAAATTGAGCCAGCCAGGGGCGCGGCAAGACGAGACCGGAAATTCAAGCGCGCCACCGAAGTGTTTACCGCATTCTCATTTTTGCTCTGCGTGAAATTTGGCTGAGTTGAATGGCAATAAAAGCATAAACTCCGCCGGGGCGGCTATGATAATAAGCGTTGTTACGTCTGCCCGTCCCGCCGCGGCGATAATTTACAAACTCCGGCTTTTTACTATGCGTCTGTGATATCGCGAGACGCTTTTGGCACGCTGCAAAACAGCCGGAAATAAACTCATTGTCAGAGGAAAGTGTCTCGACTTTTCTGCAACACATTTTTTTTCTAGTCAAATTTAAATGAATTAATTTTAATAAGTGTTCCATCCATTTCCACACAATTTAATTTTGTATTTTCCTAATCAGAACGTTACTGTCTAGAAATAAGTAAATTAATTTTGTAACATTGAAATACTGTAAGCAGAAAGAAATTTGTTGATTTTTAAGAAATATATGATTCTTTGAATCTGACAAAAATCATTTAGGAAAGTGTCTGATAAATTTATAATATGAAAAAATATTTTTTTAAACATTCAATTTATAATTTAAAAATAATTGTTAAAAAAAGTAAAATTTTCAATCAATAAAATTAATTATAATGCTGCACTTTTAATAATATTTTTTTATATTTGTTAACTGATTATTTAATTCAAACGTTTCCTAGCATCAGTTTTGACCCCGGGTAGGTGGTCAGCATGCAAAATTGGCTCTGCTCGAGGCAATTAGTCCGAAATTCGCAACACCTGTGCTTTATTATTCGAACGCAGAGGCGCACACAATGGAAACGCGGCCCTCGTTGAATACATGCAAACGTACGCTATGTATACATTCTCGTCTGCAGCAGTTACCGAAATGTTTATGGGGCGGAATATTATCCTTGCTGCAAGGATGGTGGTGCGCGGTCCTAATCTCGCAGCAGCGCTGCGGTTTCTCTCTCGCAATATTATTAGCATCCGAGAGAGTCGACGGACGAACACGCACGAGATTTTATGCAGTTTCCTCGTCTCTAGCCTCGAGTCGATGGTGCGAGAAACGCTCCTGTTTATATATATGAGGGATGCGAAATCTCAACGGTGAACAACGCCGGTTTCCCTTTGAGTTGCGGCGAGTTCGGTCCGGCCAGAATGTGGAACGAAAGGAGCAGCATTTGCATCACACGGAGCGAGCAGGGCAATGAAATTAAATTGGCTCAAATGTGGGACATCACAGAGACGCAATTCGTTCCCAGGGGAATCAAGAAAGTGTTGAATAATTTGGGTGTTTATTTGAAAGTCTAATTTAAATATAATTAAAACTTAATTTACAGCTGGACTTAACATTTCATTTTTATTTTTTTAAGTGGATTTAATTAAAGCTGTGCAAGAGAACTAGGATGGAATATCAAAATTTTACTTTCAATAGATATTAATTTTGTTTCAATTATCTTTTTGTGTTAAAAAATTAATAATTATTAATTTCAGCTCAAAATATCGGTCCCTATTTTCAATTAATTAAAAATTATATTTTAAAAAATATTTACATATCATTTTGTTCTCTTCTTCTAGCGAAATAATTAGAAACTAATAAGAAGCTGATTGAGTTCTGCAAAGTCTGATCACAGAAATGAATTAAAAAGTTTCTCAAGAGAAAATCAGCTTACAAACTATACATCTATAAGAAATTGCAATTTTTATATCCCGCTTCAATGAAATTCTCGCGCATTCGAACTCTCAGTTTGAAGCGTTAATAGGATTTCTCAAGACGCCGTGTGGAATAATCTAGCTGATTAAGGCGCGCCGGGAAAAATGGATCAAAACGGCGTCACGGGATTAAAAGTTTTCTTCCGTCGGAGCTGCAGCGAACAATAAAGAAGCTGACTTGTTCACTTCGATCGCATTTTTCCTCCCAACTCCGGGAGATAAAAGAAGTGACACGGCGGGGATAAATCTTATCCTTGGCGTTCGTTTTAGACTAATTAATTCCAAGGTGAGTTTCCGAAGTCGATGATAAAAAAAAGACGGATACAAACAAAACAAACTCGCGAAACGGAACTTTTGTCATCGAAGAAGATGGAGATGGGATTCTTTGAAAATGATAAAATAAATAAACTCTGCCAGCTTGTCTCAAGTTACTCCCAGCAGTTTTTGCTCTCTTTCAATCTGCAAAGTTCTGATACTTGTAAAATGGCTTTTGACGTGAGTAGCAAGAAAATAATGATTTTGTTTTAATTTCTATTTGTGACATTAAAATACAGTAGATTAATGTTGAAATGACTTTTAGAACAAATCTATTAAACTAAGCGGATTTGTTTTTGTAGATTTCAATAAAGAATTAAATTATTCTGAAAATTTATTTACAGGATGACAAATTTAAAATGAATTAAAATTTTTAATTTGTGTTAAAACAAAAATTATATCGCACAAAAATACTTCATCAAAACGTTGCATTTTGAGATAAAGTTTCGCGAATCCTCCATCAGCACTGCATTAATTAGGCGCTCAATTAAAAGGCGTTTCGTTTTGGCGAGAGATGAATAGGCCGGTGGTTTGCGAACTTTGCCACAATGGCTTTCACTGGAGGGGCCGTTTCAGCGGCAACTCCCACCGGGGTCAAATTTATTCGTGGTGAAACAAAACGTTGGCTAATGCAACTGCATTCGCACAATTGAAATGGCAAAGCAGCCCTCAAAGCGGCAGGTTGTAATTTAAAGTTTTCTCGGGCAGCGCGCGCGGTCAGAGAGGCGCTCTGTGTTTGTTTTCGGCCCCGGGGGCATCGCGGACAGGTCGAGTGTGTGCGTTTGTTCCATGGGTACTTACATTCGTCGAGATCCTTGGCCGTGACGGTGAGCACCGTGTGCTGGATGTCCTCATTTTCGTCCACCTCCGCCTCGTACAGGGCCTTGTCGAAGAAGGGTGGGTTGTCGTTCTTGTCGGCGATGCCAATGCGGATGAACTTGGTCACTGAAATCACAATTAGCACATCGTTAGTTAAAAATAACATCGCACAGTAAAATGTGAAATGCGAACGAATTTCTGCTCTGGCTGGCTAATTAAGCCGTCCGCTCGGTTTGTTTGGAATGTGAAAAAATGGTCAGTTGAAATTTTAGCTCGCGGATGTAATTAATTGGACGCTATTGTGCAAAGGATGGAAATTGTAAGCGAATTAATTAAGGGAAGCAAAAATTAATTTTGCTCACTTGATTATGATAAAAAAAGTTTGAAGCCTCAGGAAAAAGTGATTAGATAAATATGACTAATTTTGTTAATTGCTAATTACGTGCTTGATTTCAAAACGTTTTTTTGTTTGTCGCTAATTTCAATTAAAATGGGGCAAATGATTTTTTAAGTCATCATAAACAGGTAGAACTAAATTCATTAAATTTATTATTGAAATTTGTTTAAAGATGATACTCGAGGAGAGATCGGGCTTTTCCTGGTTGAAAATTTGTTCATTTGTAAAAACAAATGGCTCTATTCTAGAGCAAGAAAATTACTGAAAATCAGCAAAATTGAAGTAGAACTATTTGTTTTTTTATTTTTTTTTTTAACCAAGAAAAACACCGATCTCTTCATTTCCATTATTATTATGCTTTCGCTTAAATATCATTAAAGTAATATTTTTGTTTTAATTAAATCTAATTCCAACTTTTTTGAAATTTTTTACAGTGTTCGATCATCCGTATTTCTGCATCAAAACCAATCGTTCGCTCAAATCTGAAGCAAACAAAGTAGAGCAACTCCCATTATTTGCCGGACGACTCGGCTGCTTTCAACAACTTTCCTCCTTCTTTTTTTTTTTTTCTTTCTTGCCTCTCTTTCTCTCTTTATTTCGCAAACATAAAAATCAAGAGCCAAGGTCTTTTTCCTCCCCGTTTTTATTTATTTTTTTTCCAGCCCAGAGAAAGAGCAAGAAGACTTTTCTCCGCCTTTTTTGCCGCTGCAGAGGAGTGGAAAAAACGTTGCTGAAAAAACATGTCGCAAAAGATGCGTGCGGCGCTTTTAATTTCAGGCCGTTCCTTTTCATTCCGCAACAACTTCCCGCTGTGAGACACAGCGCCCGCCTTCTCAGAAAAATTACAAAAACTTCAACTTATTTATGAAGGAGGTCAGAGAAGAAAAAAAGGAGAAAAAAATCTACTCTGATGGTTTTCTAAGACATAAAAAAAAAAAATGAATTCGAAGAGGATTGTAAATATATAAATTTTTCCATGAAATTATGTATTTATGTGCATTCAAGGTAAATAATAAATTATTATTATTATTTTTTTAATTAGTATTATTATTAAATTTTAATTAGCATTTATTTATATCTGCAAAGGCGAATCATTGATTTTGACCCTCTTTCGTGATGCCATTTACTGGCAAAAAGCGGTCTGCTGGTGCATGCGGGCAAAACCCATTTTTGTGCCCGGCCAGAATTCTCTGCTGTGGTTGCAATTATGGCCTTTTACACGAGAGAGGGAGAAAAAGTGGAGCCAGTTGCGAATAAATAATTCAGAGAGCAAGGCGTTATTATCAGTGCGCAGCCAGCACTTTTTTCGCACAACTAAATGAATTTTATTTTATCATTTTCCTTCCTCGCAAAAATGTGGATTTCTGTTTTCGATTCAATTGATTTCCCTGGCGTGAACTCTGCAGCTGTTTGGACCAAAATTTTCCTCTGCTTTTCATTCGATTTCCGCCACATTTGGTCTTTTCTTGGAATTGTGCCGAGCGCTCATTACGCCGAAAGGTGCGGTGATTGAGAGCCCTGCACTTTTGGCAGTGGTCTATTGTTTTTGTTGGTGGAAAAAGAGAACGTAAGGTCTGCTCTAGTTCAAACTAGTGATTGTTTCCGGAAGGGTGTGCCAAAATTTGCGTTGGAACCAGGCAAGGAATGAAGTTTTTACCCCATAACATTGAACTGTAAATTCTGGCAAGTTCAAACAAATATTATATGAAGAAAATATGGGAAAATTGTAAGTCTTCTGACCAGTCAACAATTAATTTTTTTATATGTATTAATTTTTAAGAGAAACATTTTAAATAAAAATTTACAATGCAAAATAAAAAAATATTTATTAATGTTTTGATATATTTAGTGTTTTTAGCAATAATTTTAAAATAACTATTTAACATCTAATTCTTTTCAATTATTTATAAAATTTAAAGACTTTTCATGATATTTTAACAGATAATTGATGGTAAAATTAATTTAAGTTACAAAATTATATTATAAATCCTTATAAATTATCTGAAGCAAATGCAATTGCAAACATTTTCATGATTAAAAAAATAATTAACTCATACACAACGAGCATTGTTCAAATTTTAAGTTTAACATCATTATAAACAGAAAGTGATTAAATTTTCAATTAATGATTAACAATAAAAAATTACTAACTCGTAATAAATATTTCATCTACACAAACAGCAAATGTTGTTTTGCTTACACAAATTTTGTAGCGCGAGTGACAAAAACAGATTTAATAAGCGCATGACATTGTAAATCGCATAACACTTTTCAATTACGGCTCTTGTCACTGCAGACATCAATAACGGGCAGTGCGGCTGAAAAAGGCGAGCTCGTTGGGCAATTAGTGTCCAAAGTGCTCTGCGGCTCGTTTTGCATCAACAAGCAGCCGAGGTTGCTGCTTTGCTAATTAATTATATGATTTACTGCAGGTTCGCAATTAATTCGATCGGGCAATTTACGGTCTGAATGACGATTCTCTATTTTTTTTTTTACCTCGCGAGGAAACAAAGGAGGCCCTTAGCAAATGCAAACACACGCGAAATAATTAATGAATTGCAAACTGCCAGCGTTGAAAGAGCGACCTGGTCTGCTAACGAGTGCGGATTCTGCAGGATTTGCAGAAGAATTCTGCTTCCTCAGCTCGCACGCACCCCCTCATTTACTCAAGGAGTAGTGAGTGCTGCGTGTTTAATCTCATAATGCAGAGACAGAAATAAGAAAAGCGAGAGAGTTTAATTACAAGCGACAGTGGTCGCCTAACGAGACGAGAAGCTTCAAGGCAGGCTGGTGTAAAAATTTAATGCGAATCAAGCCGAGCTTCGATCTCAGGCAGCCGTCAAGACACCAATTAAAATTTCATTACACCGGCTCTGAAGAAGAGGACCAGGTTGGCTGCTTCCAAATGATTTTATTGCTTTAAATGGCTTCTTAAGGAACGGAATTAATTAAATCAAAATTGAATCTGTGCAGGAATTAGGCACGTCACTTTTAATTACTGGAGCTAGAAGGTTCCAATAAATTGGCAGAAAGTGATGCCAAAAATCTTTGCTGAATATCACTTCATGAAACTCTGGATTAAAATGTAATTTGATTTTCATCAAGGTTCAGCAAACATAATGAAAATTTTAGAGATATTTTTAATGGACGTAAAATGAATTTAAAGTGCTCAATATTGTATCAAACAGTTAAAAATTATAAAAAAATTTCCCCAAATTTTCTTATTATTTGACTAATACGTAATTAATAATACGTAATTAATAAATTTAGGTCAAAATGTTATGAATCTTGCATGCCTTGTACTTATTAGAACAAATGATTTAATTTTTGGCAGGATCTAAAACTTCAAAAGCTTCACATCACAGCAGCAGGGAAAACAAGTGAAGCGAAGCAACCTTTTAACAGTTTTTACGTTCCTTTTATGTTTTTATTTCGTTCAAGCAAGAATCCCTTTCAGCCAATTAAACGCGCGTGAAAAAATTGCGCGGCTGAATGGCAGTGCAACTCGATTTTTGCCGACAATAGCCGTCGGGCAGAAGCACCGAATAGAAAATATTTGACGGTGCTGAAAAAAGCAAAATACACTTTCAAAGGGAATTTTAATGTTGCGAGCGGAGAGAAAATGGTGCCAATAATTGATTATATCTCGCCAGCGGGCCACTTTGGCGTGAACCGAGAGAATATGGCGGGCGAGAGGGATTAGCCGGGCCGTTTTCGTTTCAAATGCTCGCACACGCCCGCGCCGTAAGTAATTATTACAATATGTGCGTCGGGCTTATGCAGTACGTGAGCCGCCGAGCCGGCAATAATTAATTTCCTGCGACGCTGAGAATTTATTTGCACATCCTTGGTGCGATTTAATCTGCGGACCAGCAGCCGAATCTCCTCCCTCCGCACTAATCGCATTAAACATACACCGCGGCCCAATTCGATTATCGATCCCGTCTGCAGATGTCAACGTGAAAAATGGCCGAGGCTCATTTGCGCGCCACCGCTGCGTTTATTTGTAATGCGATTTTCAATTGCAGGGGCCTCCATTATTTCGCGATCTCGCAGCGATATTTAATGGCAAGACGGATGGTGAACGGTGCGAAATTGCAACCGCCGGCTGCGGAAAATCGAATGGAAATTGATGTTTGCCTTTCGACCCCGTTTCCGCGTTCAACCTGATGCTATGTGCAAAAAAAGGAGCGAGAGAAAAATGAATTTCCCATTAGCTGCTCATTGTGTTCGGGTCGGTGACTTTTGACAGAGATTGTTTTGATCAAAACTCTGCTTTCAGAATTTAATCAAGAACAAGAAGTTGAAACAGGTTTTTATTAAAAATAAAAATATGATTTCATGCATTTTCTCCTCACTGTTTGATGTAAACATTTTTCTTAATGTATTTTGTTTAGTTTTTTTCTTTCTCTTTGTATTGATCAAATTAGTCATATTGAATGATGTGTTTAACTTGGGGATACAATAATTACTTAAACCAAATTTATAAATTAAAAATTGTTCTCTCATTTTTCCATATTAAATTTAAAAAATAGAAAAAAATATAAAAATTGCCTTTGAAAATCGGTTACTTGTTGTTTCACTATCACAATTATTATTACTAAATTATAAGAAATTTTGTGGTTTAATTTAAATTTAAAATTTCTAACAAAACCGCACATTACCATAATGGCAGGTTTTTCCACACGCAATGCGTCACATTTGATGGATGAACAAGAATGACAGCCCA